ACAGGGAGATGGGTTAGGGATGAGTCAAGTACATTACATTTATTGTGTACTTTATTTCTATATTACATTGTAATATATAATGAAATAATTATATAACCCACCATCAGGTAGAATCAGTGGGAGCCCTGAGCTTATTTTCCTGCAACTAGATGGTCCCATCTGGGGATGATGGGAGACTATGACAGACCATCAGGCATTAGATCCTTTTTTTTTTTTTTTTCCTTTTGAGACGGAGTCTCACTCTGTCTCCCAGTCTGGAGTGCAATAGCACAATCTTGGCTCACTGCAATCTCCATCCCCTGGGTTCAAGTGATTCTCCTGCCTCAGGCTCCTGAATGGCTGGGATTACAGGTGCACACCACTATGCCCAGCTAATTTTTGTGTTTTTAGTAGAGATGGGGTTTTACTGTGTTGGCCAAGATGGTCTCAAACTCCTGACCTCCGGTACTCCACCTGCCTCAGCCTCCCAAAGTGCTGGGATTATAGGTGTATGCCACTGTGCCCAGCCTAGGCATTAGATTCTCATAAGGAGTATGCAACCTAGATCCTTCGCACACACAGTTCACAATAGGGTTTGTGCTCCTCTGAGAATCTAATGCTATCTGTGTTCTGACAGGAGGCAGAGCACAGGTGATAATGCTTGCACTCACCTGCTGCTCACCTCCTGATATGTAGCCAGTTTCCTACCAGGCCACTGACCGAACCGGTTCACTGCCTTGGGGGTTGAGGACTCCTGCACTAAAGAGGTGCCACATTTTCCATCATTGATGGACATTTGGGTCTTTGCTGTTGTAAACAGTGCTGAATACTATGCAGCCATAAAAAAAAGATGAGTTCATGTCCTTTATAGGGACGTGGATGAATCTGGAAACCATCATTCTCAGCAAAGTGACACAAGAACAGAAAACCGAACACCGCATGTTCTCACTCATAGGTGGATGTTGAACAATGAGAACACATGGGCACAGGGAGGGGAACATCACATACTGGGGTCTGTTTGGAGCGTGGGGGGCTAGGGGAGGGACATCGGGGGGTATGGACATTGGGAGGGATAACATTGAGAGAAATGCCTGATGTAGATGATGGGGGGATGGAGGTAGCAAACCGCCATGGCATGTGTGTACCTAGGCAACAATCCTGCAAGATCTGCACTTACCCCAGAACTAACGTACAATAAAAAAAAAAGAGTGGCTTGGAAGGAATCCGTTCTAATACCTCTTATATTATTTCTTTCTCTGTTAACCAAGTTGCTAAGAATCAAATATTAGTAAAATTCATTCCTTTCATTAAGCTAGGCATTGCTATTTTGTAGGATTTTGTGTAAAGTAAGACACATGCAGTAAGGACTTTGCATTTTGGGTACAGCTTCTTGTAAACTTGAAGGTTTTTTAAAAAGTCTTTTGGGGCCAACTTTAAAATTGACTGTTACCCAGCAGCAAAGTCAAGATGTGCTGAAACTCAGTCAGCATCAGAACAGGTACTGGGGATACTGTGGTAGTAAATAACGGAATACTAAATGACCTAGACAAAAATGCCGATTTAAACAACAAAAAGATTTAATCCTATACGAAAATAATCAGATATAGGCCTAGTGACCAGTGAGGCTTAATCCAGCAGCTCAAATGGCATGCCCAATTCCTGGTTTCTCTCCGTCAGCTTCTTAGCAACGCGTATTCAACACAGTACTTATTTCAACAGGCTAGCCCCGGTGGTTGCAAAACGTCTTCCTCTAACTCCTGGAGCACCGTGCTTCCAGATTCAAACAGAGCAGAATGCAGAGAATGCTTTTCCCCAAGAGTTCAAATAAATGCTAAGCATCAAAAGATTGGGGCTGAACGGGGAGGAAGGAATTGAGTTGCATGGGTCTCGACTGTGCTTTCCTGAACCAATCCAGGGCCCAAGAGAGTGGCCTCAGCCAACTGATGTAAACCACTGGCAGAGTCAGCCTCACCCTAAACACAGGGTTCTATTAGTGAAGACTGGAACAGATAAGGCTGGGAAACCAACACATGAGCACCGTCTGTGTTTAAGTGTCAAATGCACAGGATATTTGTTCATTTGTTTTTGAGACTGAGTCTCACTGTATTGCCCAGGCTGAAGTGCAGTGGCACAATCTTGGCTCACAGCAACCTCTCCCTCCCAGGTTCAAGCAATCCTCGTGCCTCAGCCTCCTGAGTAGCTGGGATTTCAGGCAGGCACCACCACACCCAGCTAGTTTTTGTATTTTTAGTAGAGACAGAGTTTCACCATATTCGTCAGGCTGGTCTCAAACACCTGACCTCTCTGGTGATCTGCCCACCTCAGCCTCCCAAAGTGCTGGGATTACAGGCGTGAGCCACCATGCCTGGCTATCACATGGATATTTGTGTCAAGTACTATCAAGTGATTGATTACATTGCAGAAATCACAGAACTGAACCCAGGAAAAGTCTGATTTGTCATTCTCTAAACAGATGGATTGATGCTTAACTGGGAAGAAGGAAATATGGCCTCCTTGAGGAGGGAATAGGTCGCCCAGAGCCTAGGCACTTGGACACCTGGTCCCTTTTCTGCCCTGCTTCAGGAATCAGCTATGGGTATAATAAGCCCATTTTGGCAGCAAAGAGTTTAAAGTGGGCTTCATACCCTTAACTGGTTCCTGAAGAAAACTTTCTAATTTTTCTATCAGGCTCTGACAAATCTGTCCTGGGACTTTGTAATGATAAAAGGGACTGAACTCAGCATCAGATGACCTGAGTTCTGTTTCCATCTCTGCAACTAACTAGTTCTGTGACCTTAAACAAGCAAACCTTTCTGTGCCTCAGTTTCCTTAACTGTAAAATGGGAGAAGCTGAATGAGATTATTCATTCCCATTTGTAAAATCCTTTAAGCTCTTGAATCGAGGCTCCCATAACAGATGTCTTGAGATCTGGAAGTTCTGGTCTTTTACGCAATGGTCTCCCAGGCTACCCAAACACCCTGCTGAATCAGGGAATTTATCAGCAGCCACAGAGGCCTTGTGAGTCCCATTGAGGCCATGTAGGGTGTGGAGCCGGGAAAGGAGCTCAAGACCTAGTTCCTTGTTCTAAACAACATTCAAGTCAGCCTTATGACTCAGTTATCAGTGCTTCTCTCTTTCCAAGGAGTGCAAAATTTCAGTCCTGAGATGATAACAATGATTTATTGGATTGCCAAACTATTGTGTTAAGAGAAAAATGAAATACTGCTTTGTATTTTGAGCCAACTCCAATCAGATTTCTGCCTGTAGGCCGGGTGCGGTGGCTCAAGCCTGTAATCCCAGCACTTTGGGAGGCCAAGGCGGGTGGATCACGAGGTCAAGAGATCGAGACCATCCTGGTCAACAAGGTGAAACCCCGTCTCTACTAAAAATACAAAAAATTAGCTGGGCATGGTGGCGCGTGCCTGTAGTCCCAGCTACTCAGGAGGCTGAGGCAGGAGAATTGCCTGAACCCAGGAGGCGGAGGTTTTGGTGAGCCGAGATCGCGCCACTGCACTCCAGCCTGGGTAACAAGAGCGAAACTCCGTCTCAAAAAAAAAAAAAGCTTTCTGCCTGCAATTACTAGTTAATATGAATAATCACTTACTGAATAACCTTAAACATAGACTCTCTCTCTCTCTCTCTACATATATATGTATATAGAAAGAGACATATATGTGTATATATATACGTATATATATATATATATATATATATATATGTACAGAGAGAGAGAGAGAGTGGGAGGGAGAGGCAGGGTGTCACAATGTTCTAGTCTGGAGTGCAGTGGCTATTCACAGGCACAGTCTTAGCTCAATGTAACCTCAAACTTCTGAGCTCAAGTGATCCTCCTGTTTCAGCATCTCAAATAGCTCGGACTAAACAGGAGCACGCTACTGTGCCTGGCTCTGACTTTTTATTTTCCTAGTTTAACAGCAGCAAGGGCTTATAGACAGAGTTAATCAGGGAACATGTTGAATTGCTCCAAAACCTATGATAAAACACCCTATCCCTTTGTGAAATTCCTTTCTCTCACTGCTTCAGACAGAACTGAAGAGTTCATAGGAAATCAAGCAGGACTTTCTGATTTTTCACTTTTAAAATTACAAGGATGAATGATGATGATAACCTAATAGAATGCTGAATAAATAAGGCTGAATAGGTGACTCCTTTGGGCCAGGTTGAATGGAGAAACCGAGAACGAAATCCCAGTCACGTAGTCATTTCCCACCAATCGCTTTCAGAAACTCAAGTAGCTGTATGGCCTAATTAGGCCTGTTTGGGGGATTCACATTTTATTTCTGCAATGAATGGCGTCATTTGGGGTTTAATATTTATTGAGGCTTTTATGAAACAGAGAGGTTTCCATATGTCTCTAGAGCAAAACATTTGTTTGCCATCTGCTACTCAAGAGTAGTTTTGTAGAAAAAGAATGCAAATTGCTTGCTTCTTTAATTACTTTGGGGCTAGGCTATACTATAGGTGGGACTGTGGAATAGCCAGTGGAATTCACTGCTGGAAGAATACCGTTGTTTACTTAGGCGCCAACTTAAAGAATTCTTTACAAGCAAACTGCAAGAAAAGAGATTAAAGCCGAACGTTATTTTTGCTCTTTTAACTCAAGGCAGAGACCAAGTGAAGAGAGGTGTGAGATTTTTTTCAAGCTGGCAAAAAGGAGACACTATCGAGATGAGAGACTTTAAGGTCAGTATAGGATCAGTTCTCTTTTTAAAGATCTGACACCAACTGAATCTGTGACTCATACTTAAAAAAAAATCAGAGGATCTCCTTGGCTCAGTATCAAAAAAAGTAATTTACTTTTCATCACCAGGAGCTAATGACCTGGGCTTTGGACTCCATACCGTTTCTCCTTTTGCTCTTCTCATTGGCTTCTTGAATTGTGTGTAATTCTCTATTCAGTGACTTCTCCACTAGCCTATAGATAGTCATCATTAGAAAATGTAGTATTTCTAATCACTTTGCTTAATCAGGAGTCCCATCAACCAGTAGTGTTCACCTAAAAGTAGAAATTCCAGGGCTTAGGAATTGTCTGCGGATTTAAATCACTGATGCTTTTTCTAGCTTTTCTTACAGTAATATGTTATTCATCAAGGTTATGAGAATACAGAATGTAAGAAATTGACAAACGAGAGGAACCTAGTCTGCCTAGTAACTGAGATCCCTGACAGGCTACCTAACCTCAATGGACCTCTGATTTCTAAGACTACTTTTTGCTTTAAGAGGCCATAAAAACCAATGTCTAGGCCGGTTGCAGTGGCTCATACCTGTAACCCCAGCACTTTAGGAGGCCGAGGTGGGCAGATCACGAGGTCAGGAGTTCGAGACCATCTGGCCAACAGGGTGAAACCCCGTCTCTACTAAAAATACAAAAATTAGTCAGGTGTGGTGGCACTGGCCTCTAATGCCAGCTACTCGGGAGTCTGAGGCAGGAGAATTGCTTGAATCCGCGAGGCGGAGGTTGCAGTGAACTGAGATTGTGCCACTGCACTCCAGCCTGGGCGACAGAGTGAGACTCCATCTCGATAAACAACGAAAAAACAATGGCTATAGAGATGTTCTAGGGTTTCTCAAAATGTGTATCTCCGAACACTAAGTGAGTCAGCAGATGCTAGTAGGTGATACGAGAAGAAAGGGTTTCAGGGCTAAGCCTTTTGAGAAATGCCGCTTTTAATTGTTTGGACCGTGCAGCTCCTCTGGCGTCAGTGTGCGGAGGCACCGCCATGAGTCTCCACTAAAAGGTGTATCGCGTGGCTTTCCACACACTCCATTCCGATGGCGCATCTTATGGGGCTTGTGTCCTCCGGCACACTGTATGTTGGGAAACTGATTTCATCTAAACCTTCTTTTTTTGAGGGGTTGGGGGGATGCAGTCTCACTCTGTCGCCCAGGCTGGAGTGCAATGGCGTGATCTCGGCTCACCGCAACCTCCGCCTCCTGGGTTCAGGCAATTCTCCTGCCTCAGCCTCCTGAGTAGCTGGGATTACAAGCATGCACCACCATGCCCAGCTAATTTTTTGTATTTTTAGTAGAGACGGGGTTTCACCTTGATGACCAGGATGGTCTCGATCTCTTGACCTCGTGATCCACCCGCCTCGGCCTCCCAAAGTGCTGGGATTACAGGCGTAAGCCACCGCGCCTGGCCCCCAGTGTACTTTTAGTAGAGACAGGGTTTCATCGTATTGGCCAGTCTGGTCTCGAACTCATGACCTCAGGCGATCCGCCTGCTTCGGCCTCCCAAAGTACTGGGATTACAGGCGTGAGCCACTGTGCCTGGCCCTTATATTTATTTTCATTTGTTTGTTTGTTTGTTTATTTTTGAGACAGGGTCTCTCTGTCACCCAGGCTGGAGTGCAGTGGGGCAATCTTGGCTTACTGCAACCTCTGCCTCCCAGGCTCAAGGTAACCTTCGACCTCAGCCTCCTGAGTAGGTGGGACCACAGGCTCACACCACTCACGCCCAGCTAATTTTTATATATTTTTTTTGGTAGAGATGGGGTTTCACCATGTTGCCCAGGCTGGTCTCACACTTCTTACCTGAAGTGATCCACCCACCTCAGGCTTGCAAAGTGCTGGGATTAGAGGCTGAGCCACCCTGCCTTAGTTTTAGATATGAAAACACTAAATGGCAAAGTTCTCCTATCGAGCTGAAAATCAACATGTTTACAGGGAACTGTGAGGAATGACGGCAGCATCCATTACAAACAGTACCTGACAGACTGGACTGAGAACACCTGTCCCTGCCTCCCAGGCTTCTCCTGAGTTCCAGGGCAGGGCTCCCTGCCACCACCCCTGTCACTATCAGATCCCCAGGAAGATCAGAGAAGAGGGTGGGGCGCTGTGATGGCTCTCTCCTCCCCACCTGGGGAGGCTGCTTCACCCTGAAGTTCTGGGGGGCTAGCAGACCTTGCACTAAACTGAAATTAAAATCACCTTCCGTGCGGAAGCATATTTACCCGGAATTCTAAATGAACATTCTGTATACTGTGTTTTTCAGAAAAACACTAATGTCAAGTAATTAAGCTAACATTGGTATTTTTTCCTTTGTATTGTTCTGTATTTTGAACGAGTTGTGGGATAGGTTAGAGGGTCACATCACACCCTGGCTAATTTCCCACATTGACATTTAAAGTGCTGTAAAAATGATCTGCGCAATGAAATGTTTTTACAGATTAATTATTTAAATTTCTTGAGGGCATGAATTATATTCACATTGTATCCCTAATGGCTAACACAGGCTTGGCATATATTAGCCACATAGCGACAAACATGTTTGCGTTAGTAAATTGTAATCTAATGAGCAGGTTTTAATAAAATAAAATTAAATAATGGTAATAATACACTCACAGCACCAATGATATCCTACCTTTTCAGATTAATTGACTTATCATAGTCAAGGATCATGAAATCCGGTTTTCTTATTAACAGAGACCATTCAACAGTTTTCACTTGTAATCTCCTGGTTTCACAAACACATCACAATTGCACTGTGATGTGGTGTTTCTTTCGGGTAATAATAAATGAGATCATTTCTATATTTGACTTCTCAACACATACACAAAGACTTGGAATGAGCTGGTAGTTATCAAGTCCTATCTTCCAGTCGCTGCAGAATTCCCCTTTCAACTACTTGACCTGTGCTTAAACATCCCCAAGGATAACGCACATAATAACAACCTTGAAATGTGTGATTCCGGAGGGCCTTCTGAGTTGTCAAAGAAGAATTAAGACACCTTGGTAAATGATAGTTTGTGTCCTATAGTTTCATTCATTCAATAAAAACTCTTTTAGCACCTACAATATATAAAGCAACTTGCAAGATACCATAAGAGGAATAAAGATAAAACTGACACAGACTATGCCTTAAGAAGCCTATGGCCTTTATGGGAGGTGGGATTACAGGTCCCTTCCTTCCTTCCTTCCTTCTTTCTTTCTTTTTGAGACAGAGTCTTACTCTGTCACCCAGGCTGAAGTGCAGTGGTTCAACCTCCCCTCACTGCAACTTCTCTGCCTCCCAGGTTCAAGCGATTCTCCTGCCTCAGCCTCCCGAGTAGCTTGGATTACAGGCATGCACCCCCACTCCCGGCTAATTTCTTTATTTTTTTGTGGAGACGAAGTTTCACCATGTTGACCAGGCTGCTCTTGATCTCCTGACTTCGACTGATCCACCCGCCTCAGGCTCCCAAAGTGCTGGGATTCCAGGCATGAGCCACCATGCCCAGCCTTATAGTTCTTTCAAAACTAGTTTACATTTCTTTAGACACTGGTTGTCTATAATTAAGTGGATTACCCAATGTATTAAACACCTCATTCCCTAACTATTGTTAATAAACAGAAGGTTACCTCACTCAGTATCAGTGACATCGGGTTTTATTAGCAGTCATCGGCGATGCTCTTGGGTGGACCATCCCAGCAAGGTCTTACTGACCAGCGTTGAGCCACCTACTTTGGACCCACAGTCCACCTTAACTGATGAGCCAGGAGGGTAAATCATGACGACATGGGAACCCGAACCGCATTGAGAGAGGTTTCAGAGATGCTTTTGGGAAGCTGGATGCTTATACAGGCTGCGACACAGACCAAGTTGCCAAGCGACAACCAAAAATGGGATCAGTCAGGGAATACGAATTGTCCCTAGCTTTTCAAGTGGCTCTGTCTGAACAGATAGTGGCTCTGTTGGGGAGAAGGTGAAACGGGTAGGAAGAGAACCTACCTGTTCACACCCCAGAAGGGACCACCACCTACTAGTGTGAAACAACTTTTAAATTCTGATTTGGGCTCTGTTTCTACCTCCATAGGCAAAGAAAAAAAAAAATTTAACAGAGGTCGGGAACAGTGGCTCACACCTATAATCCCAGCACTCTGGGAGCCTCAGGTGGGTGGATCACCTGAGGTCAGGAGTTCTAGACCTGCCTAGCCAACCTGGTGAAACCCCATTTCTCATAAAAATACAAAAATAGCTGGGCATGGTGGTGGGTACCTGTAATCCCAGCTACTCAGGAGGCTGAGGCAGGAGAAGCCCTTGAACCCCCTGGGAGGCAGAGGTTTTGGTAAACTGAGATCGGGCCATTGCACTCCAGCCTGGGCAACAGAGCGAGACTCCATCTCAAAAACAAACAAAAAATGTAAAGGAAATTAAATTATATAACATACCTCCAAAGATCGTTAAGGAATGTGTCCTTCATATATTAGGAACAATACTCTGGGAGAAAGTTGGACTGACCCTTGCCTGAGCCAAGAATCCAGAATTCAGTGCTGTTGGCATTCAAACGTACAACGAATTTGCATCAAAATAAACGCTGTACACATTTCCTTACATGTTTTGCCTCAAGAATTTGGTGGTGAAAATACTTTTTACATGTGGACATATTTCCCTTAATATTAAATGTTGTAAATGTTCATGCAAAACTGAGACACGGTTAACAATAAGGAAGCTCATAATTTTGGCTTCTTTGCATCTCAGAGTCCGGACTACGATCATGACCCTGATTCTGCAGAAAATGATGTGGACGGAAGCTGTTTTGTCTCACAGCTCCTCACAACCTCGACTGACCCAAGCAACTCCCACAACAATGGCCAGCAGTCCAGGAAATCAAGCTTCTCTTCTTCCTTCCCCTTGGTCCATGGTGGGGAGGTAGCAGTACCTAGGATCACCTTCTAGGGTTTTGTATGGGAGTGCAACCATACCAGTAAAATATTTACATACAGAGCTCATTCATTTGGTCTCTGGCCCTTATACCTACTGGAGATCATGCCTACTGCCAAGAATAAATAAGTCATTTATTGGAGATAGCAGATAAAATACTTAAAGCAGCTCATGCCTCTGTGTTTTAAAGTTTAGGTAGAAATAATGGTACCCAGATTTGTGTAGATTCTATTAGCTCACACCTTTGGCTCATTTATTATTTGGCCAGATATGATTTGCTCTTACGTCTCGGTAAGAGGGGTCTCTCCCCTGGGACCCACTATGTAGAGAGCCCTATGCTACCCTTGTTCTTTTCTGGTCAGTCCTCCCCACTGGACAAGGAGTCTACAGGCTAAGTGGATTTACTCTCCCAGAGCCATGCCATCATTTTAGGCTACATTCCAGGTACCAGAACTCAGAATTTCCTGCCAATGGCCCTGCTCCAAGACTGGTGTGGGCCTCTTCTCCTGTTCTCCTGCCTTTTTTTTTTTTTTTTTTTTGAGGCAGAGTCTTGCTCTGTTGCCCAGGCTAGAGTGCAATGGCACAATCTTGGCTCACTGCAACCTCTACCTCCCAGGTTCAAGAGATTCTCCTGCCTCAGCCTCCTGAGTTAACAGGGATTACAGGCACTCACTACCATGCCCGGCTAATTTTTGTATTTTTAGTAGAGACGAGGTTTCACCATGTTGGCCAGGATGGTCTCAGACTCCTGACCTCAAGCGAACCTCCCAAAGGGCTGAGATTACAGGTGTGAGCCATTGTGCCCGACCCTGATCTATCCTTCTGAGGGTGGACTATACAGTTGGGCCATATGCCCAAGTGTCAACCAAAAGGGGGTGGCGATATGGCCAACACTTGGACATATGGGCTAGAATCCACATCATGAGTATGTGAGGCCCTTTCTGATGTGGGCCCAATTTGAGGGATGGAGGAAGGGCATTGGTCTGGGCCAGGACTGCTCCCCTGAGCCACCACATTTTGATATGGAGCTCTAAGGAGCTGAAATATTCTAAATTCAAACCAAGTGTCTGCATCATTGTAAAGGTGTATCTGTCAAGGTGGGAAACCCAAGTTTGTTAGCTTTGGCTAGAGTTTAAAAATATTTACACATATGATACGTGAGTTTTTGTTTTCATTCTTGCTCTAGGTTCCACAAAATGGGAAACTGGGCCTGTCCTTGGGATGTGTTTGATTTAGAGTTTGTTTAAAATTCTGATATAAGAGCCCTGGCAAGTGGTTGGCAAGGAGAGTAATGGGTGGGCCACTTTGCCACCAGCTCAGACAGAGCATTGCTGCAAACCAGTATTCCAACTACCTTCCGACATCCTTCTGCTACCTGACCCAACAAGAGAAAACTCTGTGTGCCTGTGTGTGCACGCGCACATGTGCCTGTGTGTTCATGCGTATGTGTGTGCATGAGTGTGTGTGCGCACGCATGTGCATGTGTGCGTGTGTGTGTGTCTGTGCACGTGTGTAATATCCACTGAGAATCAGGAAAACATGACACGCAAGTGTTCACATCATCCAAACCTCACACTGATGTTCTGTTCTAGGTCACCACAGCTGCTCCGCCAAGTTCCTCTCCCCAGTTGGCTTCCTTTAGCTGCTCAGAGCTAGGAGCTAGGCGTTTTGAAGGCCTCCTCCAGGAGACGAAGAATGAACTAGAAAGGGAATCATGCCAGGCTTCCTTGATTGAACCCCACTTCACTTCAGCAAATCCTTAAGCCTTTCTGTCTGTTTTGTCAGCTGTAAAATGAGCAGACTAATTCAGCTCTACCTCAGAGGGCAATGAGTGGCAGGTTTAATTAATGATGATTGTGATGGGCTTTGTAATGTAAAGTTGTATATAAATGAAAAAGAGCTTTAGAGCTATTTTATCCAAAGTCAGATAAGTCTGGAGTGCATCCTGCTTTCCACTGCTATGGTTAAGCCTCTAAGTCCTGATGGCAGACTGCTGCAGACAACAGAGGAGCAGGAAGGCACAGCCGGCTCATGTCGCCTAAACAGAAAGCAGGCCTTAGTAATGACAGTGGGGGGCAGAGCATGTAATCAACACATGTCTCAGATGTCTGCATGCTGGACAGCACCAAGATTCACTGAGTGCAGCTGGTGGCAGATGACGGGCTGGTTTTTGCAATCAAAGTACAAAGAACAAGGTGTATCCATCTATTCCAGGGGCTGTTCCGGAGAGATCCTAGAGATCTAAAGTGTCACACTGAGGGAAGAGTTCTTTCCAAAGATCTCCCCTGCAGGTCGTCCTATCATCCCTGCCTGGGTTTGCTGGCTGACAGCTCGCAATAGCTAGCAGTCTTTTCTTCAGGGACGCTGCTTACTGAGAACACGCTACAAGGCTCAGGCCTATCTAGGTCTTGTGTCTTTCCTGTTTCAATAAAGACACGGTGAGATGCTTTGGATTTGTGTTCCTGACGAAATCTCATGTCTAAATTGTAGTCCCCAGCGTTGGAGGGAGGACTGGTAGGAGATGATTGGATCATGGGGGCAGACTTCCCCCTTGCTGCTCTTGTAATAGTGAGTTCTCACGACATCCGGTTGTTTAAAAGTATGTAATACCTCCCTCTTCACTGTCTTCCTCCTTCTCCGGCCATGGTAAGACCTGCCTGCTTTCCCTTCGCCGTCTGCGGTGATTTTAAGTTTCCTGAGGCCTCCCCGGCCATGCCTCCTGTACAGCCTGTGGAACTGTGAGTCAAATGTCTTTTCTTTATAAATTACCCAGTCTCAAGTAGTACTTTATAGCACTGTGAGAACAGACTAATGCACGAGGCCACCTAACTTACCGGAAGTCATAGTGGTCCCACTGAGGATCACACCTGCGAACTGCTGGTTACTTTCGCTAACATGGGACTTCTGTCTCTTTCACATGATTATTCTAGCAACATTCACATGCAGCAAACCATACCTTGTATATACTTAGAGGACGTGACTGCTCCTTCCCTTAATCCCCTAGATCCCTGTGTTTCTAGGACGACATCTCATATTGAATATTGCGTTATAATTATGCTTATACAGCCTCTTCCTAGTATTAGATGACCTAGAGCTTCTCAAAAACCCCAAGAGGGTCCTAATCACTTTGATGCCCTCCTCCTCAGTACTTCCTTATAGGAAACGCAAAAGAAGTTGTTTCGAATGCAGTGGAAATAAAAAGACCTAGTGAGTGATGAAAATGATGGGAAGGCGTAATGTCCATTCGGGAGCTTTGTTTTCAAAATTAAAAAAAACAATCTTGTTGGAAGATCTAGATATATTATATTCATAAGGATCAAAGGTCTTCAGCTGTAGCCAGACTTAGGTTTATAGGTTGGTTCTGCAAGTTACCATTTCTGAGAACTTTGGAATGGAAGTTAACTCCCTCTGTGCCTCAGTTTCCTCATGTGTAAAATGGGGATAATACTACTATCCACCTCATAGGGATGTTGTAAAGAGTAAACCCGATAATCCATGTGAAGAGTGCTTCACATGATATCACCGTCACCTCCACCACCACTATCAGAGACTGTGGAGGAAAGAGTCTCAGTTGCTCTCCGAGGCTAACAGTATAGTCTTTGGATTTAACAAAGGGCCCCATCGTTCCCTGAATGGCACCTTATAAATCAGAAGCAGGAACCCACTTAGGTCAGAACCTCTAGACTTTTTGCCTCTCACCCCTAATTTCAGATGTTCTTCTTTGGTCACTTGAAGAAGTGTGAATAAGATCGTTCTCATTTAGACATAATGGGAGGGCTGTTTAAACATTACTATGCATACTTATTATGTATAGTAACTTTGTTGGTTGTAAAATACACTGTTAGACACATGTAGATCCTTATGAACTCACTCAGTCCCAATGTACTTGGCATGTCTTTTGTTTAAACGGTTTCTCCCCTCAACACGTGGTCCCCGATTTGATTATTCCACACGAAAAAATGTTTCTGTGGTAGACATTCACCAATGTGCTGAAGTTTATGGAGAAAATATTTTCGGTTAACAAATGATGTCCCATTAATGCTGGAGGTTTAAGGGAGAAGGCAGGGAGCCTGGAGGGGAAGACGCAGAGCCACCAGCTGCAGTGCCAAAGGCAGCAGCGATGCCTGGAGGGAGTGGGCACATTTAGGGTCTTCTGTTCAGCCTGTGCCTCCTTTCCTAAAAGTTGTCCCCAGCCCCCTTCCACAGGGGTGGCCCCAGCAGTCACTATCATCTCCTCAAGTGACCCTCCGGCTCTACCAAAGATGACCAGGGTAGACACTCCTGAACCAAGCTGAGCGACCAGATTCTTTCTCCGGGGCAGCTGGAATTAGGACACAGGCCTCTGGTCAGTTACAGTTGGCCCTGGAACTAGGACAGCTAATGACAGGGGGCTGGCCTGGCCATTTTCACTATGTACCCTGGAAGAAAAACCGTGCTGTGGAGACAGGACACTGACACAGTGTCAGGGAGAAAGAGAGATGAGAAACCAGGTCACCCCAAGAGAAAAAGGGAGGTGGCAAGAGCATGGCTGTCTCCATTCGCAGTGGCCTCTCAGGGCATTGTTCCCACCCCACGAGGCCTGGGTGCCCTTCCTGCTCTGGCTCGTGCCCAGCACACTCTCCATTTTAGCTCAGGCAAGTGTGAGAGATCTCTGTTCCTGGAAACCCAAGGAGCCTTGGCTAAGTCTGTGGGCTGGCAGAGAGAGAAGATTAGCCAGAGATTCGGGTTGCACAGACAGGGTCTGCCTGTTGACACCCACCCTGCTAGTCCCATCACACTCAACTGGCCCATCTAAATCAGACATGCACACAGATGACTTTTACTGATGATAATACTGAATGCAGCAGATTCACACTTATCCCTAAAATAATGTGTTCTCCTGGTCACGTCCTGATACACCTTCTTCTGTCATTGGGAAGTGGATGGATGGCATTATAGATGGTATACCCAGAACAAAACAGGATTGGCACCGGTCTTGCCAATCCCCCTGACAGTCAGTCCCATTGCTGGGTCATCTGACAGTTGTCTGCAGCTTTGGCCCTGCCCCAGGTTCACACGCAAATCCTCTGTCTAGATGGAAGGCTTTAAGAAGCCCTGTCATGGCTGGGCATGGTGGCTCACGCCTGTAATCCCAGCACTTTGGGAGGTTGAGGCAGGTGGATCACCAGGTCGGAGTTCGAGACCAGCCTGGCCAGCATGGTGAAACCCTGTCTCTACTAAAAAAAATTAGCTGGAGCCAGGCATGGTGGCTCATACCTGTAATCACAGCACTTTGGGAGGCTGAGGTGGGTGGATCACCTGAGGTCGGGAGTTCAAGACCAGCCTGACCAACATGGATAAACCCTGTCTCTACTAAAAATATAAAATTGGTCAGACCCATGGTGGCACATGCCTGTAATCCCAGCTACTCAGGAGGCTGAGGCAGGAGAATTGCTTGAACCCGGGAGTCAGAGGTTGCAGTGAGCCGAGATTGCGCCATTGCACTCCAGCCTGGGCAACAGAGCAAGACTCTGCCTTGAGAAAAAAAAAGAAGCAGCAGCAGCCGTGTCTCAGTAGTTCAGGAGACACAGTTTACTCTCTGACTTGTCCTGCTTTGATTAAACCCCCTGGTTCTGGCTTCTGGGATTCTGCCTTCGTCCTGGAATTGGGTCTCCGTTCTCATTCCCCTGGTACAGGATCCGAAGCCTTGATTCCGCAAGCTTCAGCCCCTGCCTCCATAACCCATCCAGCTCCTTGGTCCCTTCAAAATCAGATCTCTAATTTTCTTGCACCTGTTCTTTCTAACAAGCTGAGGCCTTCCTCCCTGCCCCTTGTCCTGCCTGACACACACTGGTAGTCTGAGTCACTCACACTGTCCCTCCCAACATCTCCCCACCACTCTACCACCTCCACTTTCTGCACGCCAATAATCACGTTTACTTACTTATGGATACCTACTTGTGTCACCTGCTAGATCTTTCTAACCTTGATGCTCTCTAAAGTATCATATCACCTGCTACTACTCTGAGGGTCCATATGGTCCCAAAGATCTGCCTGCCTAGCAGACCGCCTCCCACTGACTTTACCTGGGCACCCCAGTCACTTGCAGCAGAGTGACAAAGAGGCACTGTGGCATGATGGAACGAGGATGACAGGAGTTTGAACATCTGGGCAGACCTGGATTCAAATCCTTGCTCCTCCACTTGGACAAGTTTCATTTTTTTTGAGATGGAGTCTCGCTCTGTCATCCAGGCTAGAGTGCAGTGGCGTGATCTCTGCTCACTGAAACCTCTGCCTCGTCTCCTGGGTTCAAGTGAGTCTCCTGCCTCAGCCTCCTGAGTAGCTGGGATTACAGGAATGTGCCACCACTCCCGGCTAAGTTTTGTATTTTTAGTAGAGAGGGGGTTTCTCCATGTTGGTCAGGCTGGTCTCGAACTCCTGACCTCATTATCTGCCTACCTCTGCCTCCCAGTGTTGGGATTACAGGCATAAGCCACTGTGCCCAGCCAGATGAGTTTCTTAATTTCTCTAGAATCCAAAGGGATTGTTGAAAAGATCATATGAGATAATGTACCTGGCAAAATTTAGCAGGTATTTAATAAAATACAACTGTCTTTCTTTCCTGCATGTAGATTTTTTTTATTGCATTTTAGGTTTTGGGCTACATGTGAAGAACATGCAAGATTGTTGCAAAGGTACACACATGGCTGTGTGATTTGCTGCCTTCCTCCCCATCACCTACATCTGGCATTTCTCCCCATGCTGTCTCTTCCCAACTCAACCTCATGTAGATTCTTTAACAGCTTTATGGAGATAGAATTTATATACCAAACAGTTCACCAATTAAAGTATACAGCTCGGTGGTTTTTAGTATATTCACTGTATTTAGATTCCTTTTTTTTGTTTGTTTGTAGAAAGTGATTTTATTTAAAGAGAGAGAGAAACAGGAGAAGGAGAAGAAAGAAACAGCTAACTCTCACACTGAGTGAGAGAATCCAGAAAGATGGAATCCAGGAGAGAAAAGCAGCTTCCACACTGAGTGGAAGGGAATAGAGAGAGAGATGGAGTTTGGAGGGGAAGACAGGCTTCCATGAGAGAGTGTGGAATGGGACCCCAAAGGGGAAATCCAGGAGAGAGAAAGATGGCTTCCATGAAGGGAGTGTTTGTGGAAGGGGACCTAAACATGGAGTCCCATATTTAGATTTCTTAAAATGCAATCATAGCATAAGCGATATGAGGTCTAATAGTTTTAAAGTACAGGATTTTAGTCAGCTGTAAGTTTATGTAAATCAGCAGTGTGATACCACTGCATTGACAAAAAAACCTTTGTGATATTGGGCTGTACTGATAACTTATGATCATCTGAACAGGACAAGTACTGTTATTCTCAGCTGGCAGCGTGTTCAGTCATTGGGCCTATTTTAAGAGAGAAATGGGCAAATTGGAGGATGACTAGAGAAATGTGATAAGGGTGATGGGAAACTGTTTATAGGAGCCAATGGTACTCATCCTGGAGAAATAAAGCCTTAGAGGAGATGAAATATCATCCTTAATTAGCTCTAGAGTTTATTTTTATTTTTTAGAGACAGAATCTTGCTCTGTCGCCCAGGCTGGAGTGCAAGTGGTGAGATCATAGCTCACTCATAGTCTCAAACTCCTGGATTCAAGTGATTCTCCCTCCTCAGTCTCCTGAGTAGCTCAGACTACAAGCATGTGCCACCATGCCCAGCTAATTTTTTTAATTTTTGGTAGAGATAGGGTGTCCCTGTGTTGTTCAGGCTGGTCTTGAACTCCTGGCCTCAAGTGATCCTCCTGCCTTGACCTCCCAAAGTGCTGGGTTGATAGGTGTGAGCCAATGTGCCCAGCCTAGACTTGTTTGTAAAATGAATGATACATGTTACTATGTTCTCTCCCTAGACAGAACTTCAACAGGTGAATTTAAGTTAAAAAACAAACAGATTTTTATACAATACAAGGAACAATAGCGCTCTCTAAAATTGGAGTGGATTGTCCCTAATGTAAAATGATTTTTTTTTTCTTTTTCTTTTTTTTCAGGAGAGATGGTTTCTTACTATGTTGCCCAGCCTGGTCTCAGACTTCTGAACTCAGTGAGCCTCTTTCCTTGGTCTCCCAAAGTGTTAGGATTACAGGTGTGAGCCGTCACACCTGGCCTCTAATCTGATTCTATTTTTAATATATTACCATATTATTTACAAGTCAGAAAGCAATGTCCTATAGAGCCCTTACTCTGCGTAATGTGTTATGCCCAGGCAGGTAAATTTAGTAAGATCAATTTTTCTTTGTTCAAAGCCAATTTTCCAGTCTGTGGATTAGTCTAACAGATCATTCTTTCTTTCATTTTTAATTTCTGCTCCCTGCTTTTTGATCAGAGGATAGAGAAAAAGAATCCCAAAATGATCATTTTGGGGTATTTTATTAGCGGCCTTGATAATAATGGAAATAGTCCAAAAAGAAGTCTTAGTCATGACCAATCAGACGATTGTGCTCATCTCTTCCCAACTGTCTGTAAAGTGACTTCATCTTAGTAGCTTGAAAGTGGTCATAAGGGATATTTTCACCATGGAAATTAGCAAACACTGCTGCTCAGCACACCTACCCCTTCCTCCCCACCTCCAAGCTCACTGACCAGTGCTCTACTGCTTGAGAGTTTATGCTACCCAATGACTACAGGCCTGGCACTACTAATAATGACAATAGCCCGTCTAGTAGATTGTTGGATTATGTGTCTCTATAAAAATATAGTTAAAGCCGGCCTGGCGCGGTGGCTCATACCTGTTACCCCAGCACTTTGGGAGGCCGAGGCGGGAGGATCATGAGGTCAAGAGATTGAGACCATCCTGGTCAACATGGTGAAACCCCGTCTCTACTAAAAATACAAAAAATTAGCTGGGCACGTTGGCGCGTGCCTGTAATCCCAGCTACTCAGGAGGCTGAGGCAGGAGAATTGCCTGAACCCAGGAGGCAGAGGTTGCGGTGAGCCGAGATCGCGCCATTGCACTCCAGCCTGGGTAACAAGAGCGAAACTCCGTCTCAAAAAAAAAAAAAAATCCTATATATATATGATATGTGTGTGTGTGTGTGTGTGTGTGTGTGTGTGTGTGTATATATATATATATGGGATGTGTGTATATATATATATATGGGATATGTGTATATATATATGATATGTGTGTATATATATATATTATATATATATATTTAAAGCCAATGCTATTTCACTTTTTTTTTTTGAGGTGGAGTTTTGCTCTGTTGCCCAGTCTGGAGGGCAGTGGCTCTATCTCAGCTCACTGCAACCTCCTCCTCCCAGGTTCAAGTGATTCTCCTGCCACAGCCTCCTGAGTAGCTAGCATTACAGGTACCTGTCACCACCACCAGCTAATTTCTGTATTTCTAGTAGAGATTGGGTTGGGGGAGGTCTCACCATGTTGGTCAGGCTGGTCTCGAACTCCTCACCTCAAATGATCTGCCTGCCTCAGCCTCCCAGAGTGCTGGGATTACAGGCGTGAGCCACCGCTCCCGACCACTATTTCACTTTCATGTGAGGACAATTGGAATTTAAGTGGTTTCATTTAGTTAATGAGTTTCAGATGAGTGAAATATTGGGCGAGATACTTAGGGAAGACTAGATTCACTCGCACCTGCGCTATAGACCATATATTCTGTCTTTAGGAAAACCCAAACTAACTATAATCAGTATAGGGAAGGGGCCTATTATACATAGCTACTTACGGAATGGCTGTGTAACGTGACTAGGACATCTCTAAGATGAAGGCCCCCCGGAAACAGGAAGTCCAAGTTCTCTGCTGGCCAGTGCTTGTCCTGTGTAAGTGACTCCTTGTGCCACCTATTGGATCTGGAAAGAACAATCTCTTAGCTTTTGATTCAGAGACTCCAGTATTTTTTGCAGATAGAACATATATTCATAATCTTTCTTAAGGCAGAACCATTGTAATGACATTGCATTTTGCAAGTTATTATGAAGGAAATAGCATCAGTTCAAGAGTCCCAAAGCCAACTGATTTCTTTTGCAAATTCTAAGCCCCCTGAGAACTTACACAGCAGTGGTTTTCAACCTGTGCTGCTTGTGGAATTACCTGGGGAGTTTAAAAAAAATACTGCCACCTGGGTTCCACCCCAAGTAATCTAATTTAATTGACCTCAGCTGCTCCTTTGGTGATTCTAACGTACAACCAAGTTGGGGTTTTATTGACTTAGAGGGTTCCTAGAAGTGGTAGAGAGAATGAGATTTGCTAAAATGAACAAAATATTTTTGTTCATTCCAAATAAACAGGAAAAGAGGGGAAGGGGGTGCTTTCCTGCTTCGATGTGGAGAAAAATCCTCGTTACCCTGGAGTAGTAGGAATCCAGGTTCTGGCTTCCTGGCAAGCACTAGGAATTGCAGTCAGCATTTATTAAACGCTTGTAGTATACTATGTGTCATCCTTCATGTGACCTCATGAAATAGGTATAAACATTTCCATTTTATAGATAGAGACACAACTTAGAGAGGTTGAGCAGCTATTAGAGTTTCCGTGTTCCCCAGAAACAGGGTTTACGAATTGCCTACCACTTTGTATGTAGCAGACATTCCATAAATAGTTGAATAAGTTTTTCCAAAGTGAATAAATAGAACACCATTCTTCTTAATGCCTTGAGCCCTTTAACCCATTAGCCTTTTAGTTAGCGTTTATCCAATGGAAAAACAGAATGCTTTTCACATATTTTGCTTGTACCCACTTTCCAAGGGAAGCAGCAGCAGAGGTCACCACAGTGTCACATGAACTCTGCAGTGACTTTGAATCACTTTCCTAATTTTATCTTATGTATTTGTTTTTGGAGACAGGGTCTCACTGTCGCCCAGGCTGGAGTGCAGTGGTACAATCACAGCTCATTGCAGCCTCAAACTCAAGGGCTCAAGTGATTTTTCCACCTCAGCCTCCTGAGTAGCTGGGACCACAGGCACATGCCACCATGCTCAGCTAATGTTTTTTCTTTTTTTGTGGAAACAAGATATGCCTATGTTACCCAGGCTGGTCTTGAACTCCTGGCCTCAAGCAATCCTTCCACCTTGGTCTCCCAAAGTGCTGGGATTACAGTTGTAAACCACCGCACCTGATCTTTCGTAATTTTAGAAACAAGGTAACTGAGGCTTAGTCAGAATTCAGTGTTCTTTTGATCTTTTCATCACACCAAGTTGAGCCAGAGGAATGATCAAAGGCATGCATCAGGAAGGATCAACTAAAATTATGACAAAGAGAGAGGGATTCTGGATAACTGGAATCATTGTTAAAGAATGACAAAGTCAGCTCTGTCGAGTATGGTACTCAGCATAGTCCCAGAGTGCCCATTATGCTCTGTGTTAGGCTTTTGGGGAGATGAGACCAAATCCCGATCTTCAAGAACCCTATGGGCCAGACGCAGTGGCTCATGCCTGTAATCCCAGTACTTTGGGAGGCCAAGGCAGGCAGATCACCTGAGATCAGGAGTTTGAGACCAGCCTGGCCAACATGGTGAAACCCCATCTCTCCTAAAAATATAAAAATTAGCTGGGCGTGGTGGCGGGTGCCTGTAATCCCAGCTACTTGGGAGGCTGAAGCAGGAGAATTGGTTGAACCTGGGAGGCAGAGGTTGCAGTGAGCCGGGATCATGCCACTGCACTCCAGCCTGGGTGACAAGAGCAAGACTCCAACTCAGAAAAAAAAAAGCCTGTGGACTTTTGGGGAAGAGAAGGCATGACACAAGGAAAATGAAATAGCAGTATAAGAGCATTTTTTTAGGTTCATACAAGACAGCAGTAGCGACTGACAAGTGATTAAGGTAGGCAATAGGAGTTCAGGGAAGGGAGAGATTATATTTGCATGAATTTATGCTGGCCTCAGCACCTTCATCAAACACCTTGACACTATGAACCGTGCGGTTACAATGAAGCTTGAGAGAGCACCGTGCCTCTCAGTAGCTGACTTTCTCCCCTGGAGCCTCGGGCAGATGGTGAGAAGGTTTGCAGGAAGCAAGAGCAGGGGAAATGAAGAGACCTGGTCACGAAGGTAAGCAGGACAGGTGCTGGGAGATCTCACCTGAGTGCGAAGCTTGGCTATTTTGAAATATTAATGATTTTTTGTCTCCCTGTATTTTTCCCTCGTTCTCCTTTTAAGCATTAGAAGCGTATAGTACTTTCTTGGCTTTGCTTTTACAAATTTTAAGCCCTCCAGACAACTTATAGCAGGAAGTTCAATCCTGGCTGTTCATGGAATCACCTGGGGAGTTTAAAAATACTGCTTCCTGGGTTCCCCTTCCAAATACTCTAATTCAATGACTTCAGTTGCTCCTTTGGTGACTCCAAAAAGCAAACAATTTTGTGGTATCATTGACTTAAAAGCTTCCTAGATATGGTGAGAGAATGAGATTTGCTGGAATGAATAGAGTATCTTGGAGAATCAATGAAAGAGGAGTGCTTTCCTGTTCCAACACAGAAAAATCCTGGATTTGTTACCCTGGAGTAGCAGAAATCTAGGTTCTGACTTCCTGACAGCCCCAGTGGGGAGGGAGGAAGACTGCAGAGAGAATGGCAGTGTGATATATCTAGGCCAGTGCCCCTCACACAGGGATGTGCACAAGGATCACCGTTGGTAAAATGCAGATTCTGACTTAGTAGGTCAGGGGCGGAAGCTGAGAGTCTCTATTTCCAAAAAGTTTGTAGGTGATACCAATGCCACTGGTCCACAAAGTGGCAAGGACCTACATGGCTAGGAATATAGGCTGTCTCCTTTAAGATTCTCAAGTCCATTTCAAGCATAGAACAGGAGGAGCTGAGCCGGGCCAGGCATGATGACTCACACCTGTAATCCCAACACTCTGGGATGCTGAGGTGGGCAGATCACCTGAGGTCAGGAGTTTGAGACCAGCCTGGCCAATAGGGTGAAACCCCATCTCTACTAAAAATACAAAAATTAGCTGGGCGTGGTGGCGGGTACCTGTAATCCCAGCTACTCAGGAGGCTGAGGCAGGAGAATTGCTTGAACCCAGGAGGCAGAAGTTGCAGTGAGCCGAGATCATGTCATTGCATTCCAGTCTGGGTGACAAAAGCAAAACTCTATCAGAAAGAAAGAAAGCAAGAGAGAGAAAGAAAGCAAGAGAGAGAAAGAAAGCAAGAACGGGAGGAGCCACAGCCTGTTAAAATTGAATGGTCCCACAGGCAGGGACAAAAGATGTTTCTGCAATGATCTGGTTTGATTGATGACTGAGGAGCAGATGGACCCCCAACTGCAAAGCTTTTAGGCTAAAAGAGGACCACATCGTGACAGGGGATCCTCATGTCAGGGTCCTGGCAGATCACAGATGGCCACTCAAAAGGGATGACTGAAAAGAGTTTCATGAAACATCCTCATGAATAACAGATAGATTGCAACTCTGCAGTTGGCACTTTGGGGGCCATGGCTGTGATCCTGTTGGAGAACTGGTATGCAGAAAAGACGGACTTGCAGAAGTTTCTGCTGATTTCAGGAGTGTGTTGAGAATGAGCCACAGCACTTTAATAACTGCCAGCAGGTGGACAATAGAAGTTTGCTGATGACACAGATTTCTTGGAGCATCTTAGAAAAATACTTAGAAAGGTAAGGGTATGAAAAGTTATCTTTAAGCCAGGTGTGGTATGGTAGTTCATGCCTGTAATCCCAGCACTTTGGGAGGCTGAGGTGGGCAGAACACCTGAGGTCAGGTGTTCGAGACCAGCCTGACCAACATGGTGTAACCTGTCTCTACTAAAAATATAAAAATTAGCCTGGGCATGGTGGCATATGCCAGTCCCAGCTACTTGGGAGGGTGAGGCAGGAGAATTGCTTGAACACGGGAGGTGGAGGTTGCAGTGAGCCAAGATCATGCCACTGCACTTCAGCCGGGGCGACAGAGTGAGACTCCATCTCAAAAAAAGAAAGAAAAAAAGAGAAAAGTTATCTTCAGCCTGGGCAACATGGTGAAACCCTGTCTCTACAAAACTAAAAAAAATTAGTCAAGTATGGTGGTACACAACTACACAACTATGGTCCCAGCTACTCTGGAGGCTGAGGTGGGATCGCTTGAGCCCAGGAAGTTAAGGCTGCAGTGAGCTATTTTGACACAATTGCACTCCAATGTGAGTGACAGTGAGACCTTGACTCAAAAAAAAGAAAAGTTATCTTTTTTTTTTTTGAGATGGAATTCAAGCAATTCTTCTACCTTGCCTCCTGAGTAGCTGGGATTTCAGGCACACACCGTGACACCTGGCTAATTTTCGCATTTTTAGTAAAGATGGAGTCTCACCATGTTGGCCAAGCTGGTCTTGAACTCCTGACCTCAAACTGTCCACCCGCCTCGGCCTCCCAAAGTGCTGGGATGATAGGCGTAAGCCCCTGCGCCCAGCCTGAATTTCTTGAAAGCAAAACTAAACTAAACCCTTGATCATCTTTCTAGAAAAAGGGCATAGGCATAAAAAATTTGAGTCTAGGGGAAAGCTGGGAATCTGATTTATTTAGAGCGGATCTTGGGGCCTGAAATTTAGCACTGGTTGGGTTCCTGGCTTAGCTTGTTCAAACACCTGTGTGCCTTCCCAGCATCAGAAGCTGGTAAAGGGAGGCTGGGCACAGTGGCTCACACCTGTAATCCCAGCACTTTGGGAGGCTGAGGCAGGTGGATCACCTAAGGTCAGGAGTTCAAGACCAGCCTGGCCAACATGGGGAAACCCCTGTCTCTACTAAAAATACGAAAATTATCCAGGTGTGGTGGTACCTACCTGTAATCCCAGCTACTCGGGAGGCTGAGGCACAAGAATCACTTGAACCCAGCAGGCAGAGGTTGTAGTGAGCTGAGATCGGGCCACTGCTCTCCAGCCTGGAATTCCATCTAAAAAAAAAAAGAAGTTGGTGAAAGGAGATAGGAGTAGAGATGGCCACACCTTTCTGAGGTGAAAGGAGCCAGTGCCAAATAAGAGGTTTCAGTGGCACCTACTTAGACCTGGCCAGCTAGACCAGCTGGAGGGTTCTCAGGGAAGTAAAGAGGATTTTGACTGGTGCTTTCCAGTTCTTTGGAAAGCCAGGTGGGAGCTCCATCTGCAGGATCCTTGAGAGCAGGCTGCCAAGGCAAAGGGACTCCAGGGTCCTGCATCTGCTGTCAGTCAGTGCAGGGGCCTGAAAACATTTTAGGAGAAATTGAGCTTGGAGGAGGAGCAGGCAGAGTTGTAATTAGAGTCCAGGTCTTCTTGACCTTGAACATTTTATTTCTCAGGCTGCCTCTGAGTGTCTCAGAGGCTGGAGGGTTTTGATACTGTACCAGGCATTGGTTAACAAGAACTGAAGCCTTAAACAGGCCTAATAATCAGAAATTGTTCTGAGACCTATGACACGTGAAGTGCCAAAATAAATTCAACTTAATTAAAAAGTTAAAGAATAGGCCAGGTGCGGCAGCTCACACCTATAATCCCAGCACTTTAGGAGGCCGAGGCAGGTGGATCACGAGGTCAAGAGATCGAGACCATCCTGGTCAACAAGGTGAAACCCCATCTCTACTAAAAATACAAAAAATTAGCTGGGCATGGTGGTGCGCGCCTGTAGTCCCAGCTATTCGGGAGGCTGAGGCAGGAGAATTGCTTGAATCCAGAAGGCGGAGGTGGCGATTGTATGGTGACCAAGGCCTCTCTAAACACAATAGCAAAAAGGAGAAAAGCAATGGATTTGAAATACGTGTGTACGTGTGTACGTGAATACATAACATTAAAGACTTCTGCATGATTAAAACAAATCATCAAGAAATACAATTTGGCAGGGCATAGTGGGTCACAGTGTAATCCCAGCAATCTGAGAGGCAGAGGCAGGAGGATTGCTTGAGACTGGGAGTTTGATGCTGCAGTGAGCCATGATTGCATCCCTGCACTCCAGCCTGGGCAGTAGAGCAAGACCGTGTTTCGAAAACACAAGAAAACAAAAGACAATAAAATTTAAAAATGCGAAAAGGTTGGGAAAAATATTTGTAACATATATGATCAATATTTAATATCCCTAATTTAAAAGGATAAAGAATAGACTGCTCTGCCTATTCAGCAGCCACTCTTCATTCCTTTACTAAAAAATAAAATAAAACAATAAAGAATAGATGACCGTCCTTATAGAAAAATGCTAATGGCCAACAAGCATATGGAAAATATCAATTACAACATGAAACATGACAAAATACTAGTTGAAAACAATAGTTCTTCTGGATTGAGATAGGGAAAAACACAATATCCAGTATTGTCGAGGGTGCAAAGAAAGGAACATTCCCATACATTTATATCTCAAATATAAATTGGTTTCGCTTTTGTGGAGGATAATTTGGCAGTTTATGTTATAAACTTTAACTTGGGCCAGGCATCATGGCTCACACCTATAATCCCAGCACTTTGGGAGGCCAGGCGGGCAGATCACGAGGTGGGTGAATCATGAGGTCAGGAGTTCGAGACCAGCCTGGCTAATATGGTGAAACCCCTATCTCTACTAAAAATACAAAAATTAGCCGGGCGTGGTGGCAGGAGCCTGTAGTCTCAGCTACTCTGGGGGCTGAGGCCAGAGAATCACTTGAATGTGGGAGGCGGAAGTTGCAGTGAGCCAAGATCCTGCCACTGATTCTAGCCTGGGTGACAGATGAAGAATCTGCCTCAAAAATAAAATAAAATCATGTTTATTATAGCATTAATAATGAAAAGTTGGCTGGGCATGGTGTCACGCCTGTAATCCCAGCATGTTGGAAGGCAGAGGTAGGTGGCTCACGAGGTCAAGATATCAAGACCATCCTGGTCAACATGGTAAAACCCCATGTCTACTAAAAATACCAAAAAATTAGCTGAGCCTGGTGGGACGTGCCTGTAGTCCCAGCTGCTTGGGAGGCTGAAGCAGGAGAATCACTTGAACCCAGGAGGCAGAGGTTACAGTGAGCCGAGATTGTGCCACTGCATTCCAGCCTGGTGACAGAGTGAGACTCTTAAAAAAAAAAAAAAAAAGAAAGAAAAAAAAAAAAGAAAAAGAAAAAAGAAAAGTTGCTGCAAGTATTGAATGTTAAGGTTTGACAGAGCTAGGTAGTGGGTACATGAGTCTTCATTATCGCATCAGTTTTCTATTGTTGCTGTAACCAATTACCATAAGTGTAATGGCTTAAAACAACACAAATTTATTATCTTACAGTTCTGGATAGAAGTCTGAGCCAGGTCTTAATGGGCTAAAGTTGAGATCCCGAAAGTGGGGGATCCAGGAGACAGTCCATTTCCTTGCCTTTTCCAGCTTCTAGAGGCTGCCCATGTTCCTTGGCTCATGGCCCTCTTCCATCTACAAGCCATTAACATAGCACGTCTCAGACCTCCTTCCGTTACCACATCTCTTTTTCTCCTGTCTTCCTCTTCCACTTTTGAGAACCCTTGGGATCACACTGGGCCTGCACAGATAACACAGGATGATCTTTCTAGATTAAGTCAGCTAATCAGCAACCTTCATTCCACTTGCCAGGTAACTACAAGTTCTGAGGATTAGGACATTGATGTCTTTGGGGGCCATTATTCTGCATATACAATTATATTATTCTAATACTTATCTGCATGAAAATATTTAATATTTACCAATATTTTATGAATTTTTAAATTTCAAATATTTTAAAACCCAAATCCAATTTAGTGTGTGGCTGAAATGAAGATATAGTCAGAGGGCAAATGCTATATGCCCATTAAGAAGCATAATGTAGAATATTCCAGCCTGGGCAGCATGGCGAAACCCCATCTCTACAAAAAAATACAAAAATTAGACAGGGGTGGTGGCTTGCACCTGCTGTCCCAACTACTCAAGAGGCTGAGATGGGAGGACTGCTTGAACCCTGGAGGTCAAGGCTGCAGTGACTTTGACTTGGAGATGGTGCCACTGCACTCCAGCCTGGGCAACACAGTAAGGCCTTGATTAAAAAAAAAAAAAAAGTGTGTAGTGATATGGAACAATGCTTATTTTATAGGAAGTGGGAGGAAAACTCAAGTCTACAAAAGATTATGCACATGATGATCCCAGTTGGGTTAAATCAAAACCCAAAATAAACCTATATCCAAGTGAATAAAAGATATTGGGAAGGATATAGGTCAACAGTTAAAAATGTTTATCTCTGGATGGTAAATTTTCTTCTATTTTTCTGCATTTCCCAAAATGTATATTGTACATTTATCCTTTTTTGCAAAGACAAGGTGATTAAGAACATCCATTAGGGCCAGAGGCAATGGCTCACGCCTGTAATCCCAGCACTTGGGAGGCCGAGGCGGGCGGACCACTTGAGGTCAGGAATTCGACCAGCCTGGCCAACATAGTGAAACCCTCGTCTCTACTAAAAACACAAAAAGTAGCCGGGCATGATGGTGGGCTCCTGTAATCTCAACTACTTGGGAGGCTGAGGCAGGAGAATCGCATGAACTCAGGAGGCGGAGGTTGCAGTGAGCCAAGATCGAACCATTGCACTCCAGCCTGGGCAACAGACTGTGCTAAAAAAAAAAAAAAAAAAAAATTCCCGTTAGTCCAATTTTCTGGTCAAGTGTCTTTCTGGTTTCTTGCCTTTTAGTCGTCCATGAGACTCGTCTCTCAAGCTTAGAGTTTCCTCCTCAAAAATAGAGCGTGGTGGCACGCGCCTGTGGTCCCAACTACTTGGGAGGCTGAGGTGAGAGGACTGCTTGAGCATAGGAGTTGGAGACCAGCCTGGGCAATATAGGAGCACCCTGTCTCTACAAAAAGTTAGAATAGTGGGGTGATCCTGTGGTCCCAGCTATTCGGGAGGCTGAGGTGGGAGAATGGCTTGAGCCCAGGAGGTTGAGGCTGAGCGAGCTGTGATGGCACCACTGCATTCCAGCCTGGGCAACAGAGCGAGCGAGACCTTGTCTCAATAATAATAATAATAATAATGAAGATTCATGTTCGGTTGTCAGTGACATTCGCCTTTCTCAGGCCCCCGATGGTCCATTCTGCAAAGCACTTGTAATCCTCAGAAGGCAGGAAGGGGTGGGTCTGTTAGTGAACGAGGCACAGTAGCGAACCGGTGCTGTTTTCAAAACTTTTTTTTTTTTTTTTTTTCCCAGAACGAAACAAACCTAAGGCACAGCCACACCCCACAGAGAACTTCGAAAACTGCGCCTTGGAAAGGAAAGCCAAAAGGATACGGGCCTCTTTCATCTCTCTGGCACATATTAATGGTTAATAGTGCTGTATTTTTTAATACACTAAAGAGGAGAATAGTGGCATCGCCCCGTGTGCCCACCTCGAGAGCCAAGCGAGAGCGGCCGCGGCCGAGCGGCCCGCAGGGTTCCGGGGTTGCGCGGGCCGGGGTGGCCGCGGGCGCTCTCTCGCAACGGCCTAAGCCCGACGCAGCTCCCCAGCCAGATCCTGGCCTCGGGCATCGCAGAGCCCGCGGCCCTCGCCGACGAGCCCGTTAGACCCACGGGACTTGGCATCCTCGAATGCGCCCCATTCCCAGGTCCTCCCTGCACCCTGGACCATCGACCTGACTTGAGCGGCCCCCTCTACCACCGAGAGGAGGGCCTAGAGCGGACAGGTCCGCCCCGCCGCTCCTCCCGGTCGCCTCTATCCCGGAAGTTGATGCCGAGCGCAGATCGCGTGCAGCTTGTTAGGGGTGGCGGCTGAGAGGTCTGGAAGGGCTGGGCTTGCGAGAGGATCAACATGCCTGTGAGTTGTTTACATTGGGGTCCGGGTTTGTTTTGGGCTTCTCTACCTAGGAGCATAGGGGACGGATGAATCCGGGGGTTTCCCCGGCCTGTAGTGTCCGAGAGTGGCGAGGCGACTCCCGTCACTCAGCGCCTTCGCGTGTGGCTGGCATGTAGTGACTTGCCCGGTCAGCGCGGCGCGGCTGACCCTGCAGGGGCGTGGGCTGCGATCAGCAGGCGGTGGCTGGGGCGGGGGTTGGGGGTAACAGCTCTCTGGGTAGCCTATGAGCCCTCTTGGTTTTTGGTGGGTGCCCCTGAGGCTGTGATATTTGGGTCTTTTTGCTTTCCTAGTGCTGGTGTTTCTCGCCCCCTCTGCCTTCTTTCGGAATCGGTTTCATACTTGTTTTCCTTTTTTAAAAACTGCCTTCGTTGTTGCCTTAATATTAATTCTGTCAAGTACGGTCACGCCTCAGCCAGAATTCCTGTCACATCAGCTGTTGAGTTGTTCCTGTCAGATCACGCTGGAGTTGGAGTTCTCTGGTCTACTTCAGCAGTTTCTACTCTAAGCGAGTCCACATTGGGGTCAGTTTGTTTACTGAGCACCTCGACCTCACACAGTTTGCACTGAAGACAGTTTATTACGCAATTGAGTGAGGAAGGACGGAGTTTGCCTTACCATATGTTTGCTGATCGTCAGAAAGCCCTTTGATAGAGACTTGGAGAGCACAAGTATTATGTAAAGTATTGATGAAAGTTATTAACAGGTTTCGAAAAATAAGTTTACCATCTGAAGTATTGCTTCTGCCGAGGACGACCGTTATTCCTGTTTTTTCATGTATATTTCACGTATGGTTAAATGTGCCCTCATTGTGGTTTAAAACTAATAATAATATGCTTCTTTATTCAGCTGGCTAGAGATTTATTACATCCGTCCTTGGAAGAGGAAAAGAAAAAACATAAAAAGAAACGCTTAGTGCAAAGTCCAAATTCTTACTTTATGGATGTAAAATGTCCAGGTAAAAGTTCAAATCTTAATTCTTTTACTGAGGAAAATTTCTGTAGGAATTGCTAAGGTGTGTATAGTTAAGATGCTTTAGAACCCTCTGTTGAGTAGAAGTGTGATTACAGATTGGAAATGTCAGGGACATTTTCATAATAAATGTACTAATTAAAACCATTGTAGAAACATTTGGGGGTAAGTGAAAGCAGGCATTCAAAGGAGATATGCTGTTTCACTTAGTAAGTCTGTAAGCTGTTCAGGTGATGTTTCTATTTCATGATACAAGGAAAAGTCGGTTGATTCTTCAGTCGAAAGCTGTGCTGGGCAATACAATGGCTATTAGCTGAATGTGGCTACTGAGCATTTGGTGGGTAATCAAAATTCCAATAGTCAAAATAGGAGTGTTCTTTACTCTTTACTCGCTGGATTTTGCCGATGTAGCACGGGAAAAAATACATTGATTACATGTTGAAATGATAATATTTTGGAAATATCAAGTTCAGTAAAGTAGATTATTAATTTTACCTGTTTTTTAAAAATTTTGTGTCACTGCTAGAAAAGTTTATGTTTATGTTACACATGTGGCTTGCTGTTTCATAGTGCTAAAGTTCTTAATTTTTTTTACATATTACCACAAATGTTGAATAGGTGGTGTTCTGCTTTTCACTTTTAACATTGCCTTTTTTTTTAGGTTGCTACAAGATCACCACGGTTTTCAGCCATGCTCAGACAGTGGTTCTTTGTGTAGGTTGTTCAACAGTGTTGTGCCAGCCTACAGGAGGAAAGGCCAGACTCACAGAAGGTATATCATTTGGCATTTTCCAACCCAGTGATGAGTTTTATGATTATAAATGTCTCCCTCTTCACTGTAAAGTTTAAAGAAATCTTAATGATTACCAAAACAGCTTTTCTCTTTCATTGTGTGCTTTTAGTAAAGAATGCCCTGTTCAACTGGATATGTTTATACTCTTGCCCTTGCAATAAACTCCACTCTTGTTTTTCTTAGTTTAGAACACCTCGTTCTTTTATATTCATCACTTAGTTTGCTTAACTTGGAATAAATTAAAGAAATCAAAATGGAAACAAAAGAATAACTATGTGTTATAGGACATACGGATTTTTTAAGCCATATAGAATTTTTAAATTTCTCTTATAAAATTTTGTTCCATATGGTTTTAGTACATGTAATAGTTCTTTTTTAATCATTGCCAGCTAAACAACAGATAGCTAATGTATAAATTAAAATGCCAGAGGTTTTGTTTTTATGAGCAACTGCAATGATTAATATAAAAACCTAATTTTAATTCCTCTTTCACTTTAGTGCAGTAGGAAAAAAAATTATGTATATAGTTTCCATAGTAATACTTGTAAATTTACAATTCCATAATGATGTTAGAAATTTGCTTGTGATATTTTGGGAAGCTGTAAGTTCCACGTTCTCACTGGAACAGTTCAAGTGGATTGACAGCAAATCCGAGATCTATTTGGTGTGACCTGGTGAGATCTAAATATGAAGTCAGCACATGATTTTTTTATTTTTATTTTTATTTTTTTGAGACAGAATCTTGCTCTGCCGCCAGGCTGGAGTGCAGTGATGCGATCTTGGCTCACTGCAACCTCTGCCTCCTGGGTTGAAGCAATTCTCCTGTCTCAGCTTCCTGAGTAGCTGGGACTGTAGGTGTGCGCCACGGCATCCAGCTAATTTTTGTATTTTTAGTAGAGACAGGGTGTCGTTATGTTTGCCAGGATGGTCTTAATCTCTTGCCCTTGTGATCTGCCCACCTCAGCCTTCCAAAGTGCTAAGATTAAGGCGTGAGCCACTGTGCCCAGCCAGCACATGGTATTTTAAGAGTAGTATTGCTAAGTATACTTCTGAGATTTTGAAATGTAGTACCCGTACACTGACAGATGGTTTAAAGGGTGCATCTGATCTAGAGTTTTCCTAATAGACCTGAAAATAACTCTAATCAAAATTTTTTTCTTGAGAAAATTATTCAGAATACTTCATAAAAATTTAGAGTATCTCTTCTGACCGCTTTTCACGGTTGAATTCAGGCTCATGGTCTTAAGTAGACTTTATTATAGCATTTGAGAAACAGGAGTGACACTTAGAGCCATACCAGAGTACACTCAGCTATAACAGATTTATTATAGCAAATTTCTGGTATAGGAGGATGAATAATCTGTATACGAGTATTAATCCAATATTCTTTTTTTTGAGACAGAGTTTTGCTCTTGTCACCCAGGCTGGAATGTAGTGGCGTGATCTCAGCTCACTGCAACCTGTGCCTCCTGGGTTCAAGTGATTCTCCCACCTCAGCCTCCCAAGTAGCTGGGATTACAGGCACCCACTACCACACCCAGCTAATTTTTTTTTTTGAGATGGAGTTTCACTCTTTCACCCAGGCCAAAGTGAAGTGGCACAATCTCAGCTCCCTGCAACCTCTGCCCCCCTACCCCCATGTTCAAGCAGTTCTGCTGCCTCAACCTCCCAAGTAGCTTGGATTACAGGCGCATGCCACCATGCCTGGCTAATTTTTGTATTTATAGTAGAGGCAGGATTTCACCATGTTGGCCAGGCTGGTCCCAAACTCTTGACCTCAGGTGATCCACCCACCTTGGCCTCCCAAAGTGCTGGGATTACAGGCATGAGCCACCATGCCCAGCCTAATCCAATATTACTATTATTATTATTATTATTATTTTGAGAAGGAGTCTTGCTCTTTCATCCAGGCTGGAGTGCAGTGGCGTGATCTCGACTCACTGCAACCTCCACCTCCTGGTTCAAGTGATTCTTCTGCCTCAGCCTCCAGAGTAGCTGGGACTACAGGTACTCGCCACCATGCCTGAATAATAGTTTTTTTATTTTGATTTTTAGTAGAGACAGGGTTTCACCATATTGGCCAGGCTGATCTGCCTGCCTTGGCCTTCCAAAGTGCTGGGATTATAGGCGTGAGCCACCACATCCCCCATATTCTTAAAAATCTTCAGTATTTTACTGAAAAAGTACTTTTGTCATTAAAAGTTTAGCAAAGGTATAATGCACTTGGTTAATATACTCTCATGATTCCTTTGCAGGGTGTTCATTTAGAAGAAAGCAACACTAATGATCCAAACAGCTTCCTGAATTTGCGTTATCTCACAGAAAGCCTTATCATAAGTTCCATAATTCTAATTAATCTACCAAGATAATGTATTATATTTGGTTTTATAAGGTATACAACAGTGAACTCCTATTTTGGTGTCAGTTTTTCAATAAAGTTTTGATTATGGGCAAATCCCCTTTTTCTTTCTTTTTTAGATATGTGTGAGTATGCCATACATTTATATATATGGTGTATGTCAATTTGGTTTAAACATTTCAAACTTTATTCTGATTAGTTTGTGTCTCATTTTCTTTTCTTTTCTTTTCTTTTTTTTTTTTTTTGTTTTGAGATGGCGTCTTGCTCTGTCCTCCAAGCTGGAGTCCAGTGGTGCAATCTCAGCTCACTGGTTCAAGCGATTTGAACCTCCGCCTCCCAGGTTCAAGTGATTCTCTTGCCTTGGCCTTCCAAGTAGCTGGGATTACAGGCACATACCACCGTGCCCGGCTAATTTGTGTCTCATTTTCAAGAGTAGAAACCCTAAATATTTTATTTTCATTCCTTTTCCAAATTATTTATGAATGGGGTTAAAGGATTACAAATGTAAAATCTATTATTTGTAAATTCTAAACATAGTTCTAAATGTTGTACCTGTGGAAACATCTTATAGAAGTACCTATCAGCTGGTTGCAGTAACTCATGCCTGTAATCTCAGCACTTTGGGAGGCCGAGGTGGGCAGATCACCTGAAGTCAGGAGTTCAAGACCAGCCTGGCCAACATGGTGAAACTCCATCTCTACTAAAAATAAAAAATTAGCCGTGTGTGGTGGCACACACTGTAGTCCCAGCTACTCCGGAGGCTGAGGCAGGAGCATTGCTTGAATCCAGGAGGTGGAGGTTGCAGTGAGCCAACATCATGCCATTGCACTTCAGCCTGGGCAACAGAGACTCTGTCTCAAAAAAAAAAAAAAAAAAAAAAAAGAAGTACATATTTTGCACATCCTTCATGTGTACTACAGAACTTATAATTAATAGCTTAAAAAAAAAGTAAATATTTAACATAGTAACCATCACAATGTAATGCCTTAGATTTATGTGGCCTTACTGTACGGCTGTATAATTTAGGACAGTAACTGCTAGCTGGGGTCTCAGTTATTCATTGGAAGCTCCTTTTTGGGTTAGAAAATTTGAGAGGAGAAATCAGGAGTGGTACGATTTACTGCAGAAGTCCTGGTTGGGGATAGTAGATGGTGTTGAATTCTCTGGCCCAGATAGATGAGCACTCCTGACTACAGATGTGTGTTGAGTGGTTCTGGGGCCTCATTGTCATGTTCATAGTTTATGAAGTGATCCTGGGGAGCTGAGAGGGGGAGTGTATCTTTGCTTTTTCAGTCACTATACAGCTCCTCATTGGACTAGGAAGATAGTCCAGTTTCTACTCTGCTTCTATTTGATTGTTACCTTATGGCAGGTCCTTAAAACAGGCAGTTCCTATCAACAGGTGGGCCCCTAATGTGAGTGACTTATCCTCTTACATACTGCTTAAATCAGAGAACTGTTGCACAAGAACTGAAGAATGATGTCAAGTTTGGGGTGTATATAATGTAGGAGGAAGTAGATAACCAGAGGTTCTCAGACTTTTTGTTTCTGACATCGTTAGAATCTCAGCAATTTTTTTCAGGTTGTCCCTTGGCCAAAAGAAATACCTAACTAACAGTTACATTTATTAACTTATGTTCTAAAAACTCTAGTAGCCATTTGAAAAAAATTATACACAAGAGCAGAAGTGATGTGATGATTTTTTAAAAAGTAGAGACAGTGTCTTGGCCCTATTGCCCAGGTTGGAGGATCATAGCTCATTGTGACCTCAAACTCCTGGGCTCAAGCAAGGCTCCCACCCCTGCCTCCTGAGTAGCTGAGACTTCAGGCATGTGCCACCGCACCCACCTAATTTTTTTGTAGAGATGAGGCTCTGGCTATGTTGCCCAGACTGTATCGAACTCCTGGCCTCCCAAAGTGCTGGGATTACAGGTGTGAGGCACTGTGCCCAGCCTGATGTGATAATTTTTATCTCATCCTTAAATCATCACAGTTACTAGTGGAATATGTGTGCTTTTTTGGGCTCTGTGCACTTTCTCAAAATTGGAATCTGATTGGACACCACTGTCCTTATTTCTTCCACAGTGATTTTAACATGGTGCTTTTTGTCACAGCAGTGGCCCCAAACCCAGCTTCACAAAGATAGGATGCCATTGAAGGCAATGTCGTGCCATATAACAGTAAAACTGAACTACCTGGAACTAGTAGTTTATACAAAAGATGTGTCCATGTCAGTGTTTTTCCTGAGGTACTCCAAGGCACTTTAGCTTGTGCAGTTTAGGAAACTTGGTTCCAAGGAGAGCCAGTGGAGATTACTGCTTTTGATGAGAAGGAATCAAACCTATGATGAGGACTAATCTAACAAACCCCCAAAAATTCCCTTGGAAGTATTTTTTTTTAAAAAAAGATTATACTTTAAAGAACACATCTAAGGGCTGGTCACGGTGGTTCATGCCTATAATCCCAGCAGCTTGGGAGGCTGAGGTGGGCGGATCACTTGTGGTTAGAAGTTCGAGACCTGCTTGGCCAACATAGTAAAACCCCATCTCTACTAAAAGTATAAAAATTGGCTGGGTCTAGTGGTACCCACCTGTAGTCCCAGCTACTTGGGAGGCTGAGACACAAGAATCACATGAAACCAGGAGCAGAGGTTGCAGTGAGCCATAATTGCACCCCTGTACTCCAGCCTGGTTGACAGAGTGCAGCTGTGTCTCAAAAAAAGAACACATCTAAGGATTTATTTGATATTGGGAAACGAATGGTGTATTCAGTTTTACTTTATTATTGATCTAGATGATATTACTGGGTTTTAAAAGTGCCGAATAGGACACCAGACCTTTCCCAAACTTCAGGATCAGCCACATACATTATTATATACTGAATGTTGTAAATACTAGTATTTATATTGGTATTTTAATGTAAATACATTTTTAAAGAAAACCCTTCATAAATTTAATATAAATGTATTTTTAAGGGAAGCTTTCCATTAGTGGAAAAAAACCAGTTACATAAAGATAGCTAAAAATAAAATGAACTTCTTGGCTTCTGGCCTGATGAGATGACAAATGGTTTTGTGTCTGGTTGTTGCTGTAAGTCATCTGATAAGTTCTAATTCCTTTTTATTTTGCTGGAGATATGATTCAGAAACTATAAAATCCAACCTTTTGTGATGTAAAATTCAATAGTTTTTAGTATACAAGGTTGTGCAGCCATCACCACTCTCTAAGCCCAGCCCATTTTCATCACCTTAGAAGAAACTTCTTACCTATCAGCTCTCACTCTGTTTCTTCCCTCCTCTCAGCCACTGGCAGCCACTAAGCTACTTTTGTCTCCATGGATTTGCTGCTTCTCAGTATTCAATATTTATATGGAATGCTATTTCATATAAATGGAATCATACAGTACGTGGCTTCTGTATGTTTCACTTAGCATAATGTTTTCAAGGGCTGTCCATTTGCATATATCAATCAATCAGTATTTCATTACCTTTTTGACAGTAATATTCTGTGTAATAATCTACAATGTTTATCCATCAGTTGATAGACATTTAGAGTGTTTTTACTTTTTTTTTTTTTTTTGACATGGAGTCTCCCTCTGTTACCTAGGCTGGAGGACAGTGACACGATCTCAGCTCACTGCAACCTCTACCTCCCTGGCTCAAGCGACCCTCTGGCCTCAGCCTCCCGAGTAGCTGGGACTACAGGCCCCGCCACCACACCTGGCTAATTTCTTGTATTTTTTGTAGAGATGGGGGTTTCACCATGTTGCCCAGCCTGATCTTGAACTCCTGACCTCAGAGGATCTACCCGATGGTTTATGACATTGGGAAAAATATTTCTACTTAATAGAGTTATGTTGAAGATATAATGAGACAGCATATATGAAGTGCTTAGCAAAATGCCTTTCCCACAGTAAGTGTTCTATTCATAGTCTGTGTGTTTTTTTTTAAGTGAAAAGCAGTCATGTCTATTCAACATCAAGTACTTTCATGTTCTGCTTTTTCCCCTAAAGTTATTTACCCACCTTACCACCACACTGGAGCATAGATATGTTAACTTTTGCTACAAAACAAGTCAACCCCAAATCTAATAGCTTAAAATATTGACTTATTACTATTTCTCATGATTATATGTATTGGCTGCTTACCTGTTGGTTTCACCCATGTTCACTCATGCAGCTGCCTTTACCTGGAGGCTCAAGTCACAGGTCTGACAGCTGGCGCTAGCTGCTAGCTGGGGCATCTTTGTTTCTCTCCATGTGGCCTCCCATCCTCCAGTAAGCTAGTCTGGCTTCTTCACATGGCAGTCTTGGGGTAGTGTTCTTGGAGGGTGACAGACAAAAGCTTGAAGGCATCTTAAAGCCTATGCAGTGGGACTTGCACAACATTATTTCCACCACATTTAATGGGTCAAAAAGCAACCAGGTGCAGTGGCTCACGCCTATAATCCCAGCACTTTGGGAGGCTGAGGCAGGCAGATCACCTGAGGTCGGGAGTTCAAGACCAGCGTGACCAACATGGAGAAACTCTGTTCTACTAAAAATATGAAATTAGCCGGGTGTGGTGGCACATGCTTATAATCCCAGCTACTCAGGAGGCTGAGGCAGGAGAATCGCTTGAACCTGGGAGGCACAATTGCAGTGAGCTGAGATGGTGCCATTGCACTTCAGCCTGGGGAAACATCGTCTCGAAACAAACAAATAAACATAAAGTGAGACCAGATTCGAGGGAGTGGATAAAGAGCTCCAACTTTGGATGGAAAAGCAGCAAAAGCGCATTGCAAAGTTGTATGCACAATGGAATGAGAGGAAATTATGGCTGTCAAATAATTGGTGGCTGGGTGCAGTGGCTCATGCCCCTTTTAGAGGCTGAGGCAGGAGGATTGCTTGGGTCCAGGAGTTTGGGACTAGCCTGGGCAACGTGGTGAAACCCCTTTGCTACAAAAAATTACCCAGGTATAGTGGCATGCGCCTGTAGTTCTAGCTACTCTAGAGGCCGAGGTGGGAAGATCACTTGAGCCAGGAAGGTCCAGGCTTCAGTGAGCCATGATTACACCACTGCACTCCAGCCTGGGTGACAGAGTGAGACCCTATCTCTAAATAAATAAATAAAAAAAAATAAAATTCCAAATGCGAGGCCAGCCATGGTGGCTCATGCCTATATTCCCAGCACTTTGGAAGGCCGAGATTGTAAGGAACACTTGAGCCCAGGGGTTCGAGATTATAATGAGTTATGATCATGTCACTGCACATCCAGCCTGGATGCCAGAGAAAGATTCTATTTCTAAAAAATAAATAAATTCTAAATAACATATTAACATGAAAGAAACATTAAATATTTAATGTTAAAATAACATTAAAGAAAGGCATGACATTTTTATGTTTAAGGGCACGGATTGAAAAATTTGACAAAGATGAATACAGGACCTAGAGATCAGAAGTCAGAAAGACATAAGGAGATGAAATGGATCTGTTATGGAGAGGCGCCCTCCTTCTACTTCAACCAACTCTGAGATATCCTTCTATTTACTTGTATACAGCATTAAGTGAAGAAACACATTTAGGGCTGAGAATTACAGAAAAGTCCTTTTATTAGAGTGTATAAAAACTTTGATTTCTCTCTGAATTTTTCAGAGTTCAGTGGCACACTGGCAATGTCTAGTACACATGATCTATGGCTGTTGGAACAGAACTCCCCAATATGTTAACACTGCAGCCTCCAAAATGGCTCCCAGTGATCCCCACCTTCTGGTATCCACTCCTTGGCGCAGGCCTCTCCCACATCAAATCAGGGTTGGTTTCTGTAACCAACACAATTTGGCATAAATGATGGCATATAACTTCCAAGGCTGAATTACAAAAGACATTGAGGTGTTTGCCTGTTTCTTCAATCCCCTGCTCTGAAGGGAAGCCAGAGCACAGGCAAGCAGACCTATGGAGAGGGCCACGTGGTGAGAAACTGAAACCTCTTGGCCAAAGCCGGGAAGTCACAAAGACCTGTTGCCTATAGCCACATGGGTGAATCATTTTGGAATCAGATTCTCCAGCCCCAGTTGATCCTTCCCTCAGATGCCTGAAGCCCCTGCTTACATCTTGTCTGCAAACTCATGAGAGCCCTTGAGCTAGAAACACCCAGCAGAGCTGTCCCCAAATTTCTGAAACAGAAACTGTGAGACAATACGCTTTGGGGTAATTTGGTATGCAGTAATAGATCCCTAACACACATTATACTACAGAAAAAAGCTCAGACTTTTACACTATAGACACAGAAGGCCAGATATGGTATGATTCCATTTATATGAAACATTCGTAACAGGCAAATCCAAAGAGATAGAAAGTAGTTAGCTGATTACCAGGGGCTGGAGGAACAGAGAAATGGAGAGCAAATGCTAATGAGTACGAGGTTTCTTCTTGGAGTGAAAACGAATTGGATAGTGGTAATGGGTGCATAATCTCGTGAAAATACTAAAAACCACTGAATTGTACATGTTAAAGAATTTTATGGCATATGGACTGTGAATTATATCTGAATTATATGTGTGTGTGTGTGTGTGTGTATTTGGGACAGAGCAGCAGATGGAACTTGGAAGGACTTTGAGGAGGGTGTTAATGAAAAACTGGAGATGCTTGAAGAAATTGTTGAGGAGCATGGCCTTGGAGGAGGCTGCAGGTCTTCTTAAGGAAAGTAAGGGAAATCTTACTGTCAATGAGAGGAGGGGATTCTTGTTTTGTACTGGCAGAAAATTTAGCAATATTGTCACCAGCAATAACTCAGAAAATAGAAACTGGATCTAATGAACTGGGTGACAAGCTGATGGGATGTCCGTACATAGTGTTTTTTTTTTTCTTTTTTTGTTCTAAGGTTGAGTAATTTATACAAAGAGGTTTATTTGGCTTGCAGTTCTGCAGACTGTACGGGAAGCATGGTGCTGGCATCTGCTTCTGATGATGGCCTCAGGAAGCTTACAACCTTGGCGGAAAGAGAAGGGGGAGCTCAAATGTCGCAGGGCAAGAGAGGGAGCAGAGAGCCATACACAGTATTGAATGTGCTTCCTTAATTCTTGTCGCTTATACTACCATGCAAGAGAAGGATAAGCTGAAGGAAGAACTATTAATACAGAATTAATAATTGAGAGTTTCAAAACTTCCCAGACTTTCCAGATGGCAAGTGATGCCAAAATTAAGAAATGGCTTCAAGACAAAGATATAACTGAGGGCACTCCCAGAACATTCTCTAAAGATGAAATTGAGGGCATGACTATACAATCCTTTCTCAAGACTTCAAAATGAACCGACATGGCACTTTAGAGAACTATTAAAACAACAGAGTTCATCAGGTTATTATTGTAAGTAGTTCTTCCCATTATCTCAGCAAACAAGCCCCAAGTTAGAGAGGGGTTATTCTGAAGGGACGTTGGTGTGGCTTTTGTCTACTGGCATAAACCCCAGTAAGATTCACAGGATACCCTTAACATTTTAAAATATTATATTGTCAGTTAATAGGGTTGCTAAAAAATAATTCAAAAATTAAATACATAATATATTCTATTAGCAGAACCACTGTTAACTTAGACTGAAAGGATAGAGAGAATACAAAAATGCCTTTGGGTGCCCAAACTTCTACAGGCAGAAAGCAGACTGAAAAAAACAACTCAGCTAGAAAGACATGCTACCTTTCACACACACACACAAAAAGTACAGGAAAGCAGCCAAGTATAATGGCTCATGCCTGTAATCCCAGCACTTTGGGAGGTTGAAGTGGGCAGATCACCTGAGGTCGGGAGTTCAAGACCAGCCTGGCCAACATGGTGAAATCCCATCTCTACTAAAAATACAAAAATTAGCCAGGCATGGTGGCGCGCACCTGTAATCTTAGCTACTTGGGAGGCTGAGGTGAAGAATCGCTTTAGCCCAGGAGGCTGAGGCTACAGTGGGTTGAGATTGTGCCACTGCACTACAGACTGGGAGACAGAGTGAAACTCTGTCTAAAAAAAAAAAAAAAAAAAAAGAAAGAGAAAAAGAAAGAAAGAAAGAACAGGTTTAACTCAGAGGCTGGGCACAGTAGCTCACGTCTATAATCCCAGCAGGTTGAGAGGCTGAGGTGGGTGGAGCACGTGAACCCAATAGTTGGAGACCCACCTGGGTAACATGGTGAATACTGGTCTCTTAAAAAAATAAAGTATAATCGGAAGGCAGAACTAAGAGCCCAGAGAACATGGCCAAGAGCTGAGAACTATTCTGAAGTCTTGAGTACTAATGAGAGTTGTCAACCTCTGTCTGATTGAATTTCATTATGGCCAGTCTCCTGTGTGTCTTCCATTTCCCTACTTTTTGAAGAGAGTATCTAGCACTTATCCTGTATCTACCGTGCTATTGTATGTTACACATATGGGGAGCAAATAACTAAAGTTCACATGTCATAAGATCAAGAGAAACTGTACTCGAGTTGCTGTACCTAAGGAACTCCTCCCGAGGAGCTCTCATTCACACTTGGACCTGACCAAATTTAGATGGTAAGATACTGGGCTTTGAGCTGATGCTATACTAAGATGAAACTTCTGGAGGATTGAAAAGGAGGTAAGAGTATTTTGCACTGGGAAAGACATAAATCACTGGGGACCAGGTCGGACTCTGGTACCTAGCTTCCAAGTTGACTCCCAGTGATTCCTACCTCCTAACATTCACAATCTAGACACTCTCTCCAGCATTTATTCGGTCCCATGTAAACCATGGACTATGGCAAATGTGAGGTATGTGACTTGAGGCTAGTTTCTAAGAGTGACTTCTGCCCGGCACTCTATGTCTCATCACTTACTCTGCGGGATGCCAACCGCCATGACATTAAGATACCCCAGCAGCCCCTCAGAGAGGTCCTTGTGGTGACACACTGGGCCCCTTGCTACCACACCAGCCAGAGGACTGACTCTTGCCAGCAGTCATGCAAGTAAGCCACATGGAAGCATTTCTTACAGCCCGGAGCCTTCTTTAGATGACTTTAACACCTTGTCTGCAACCTCATTAGAGACTGCGCCAGACCCACAAAACTATATTGCTCCTGATTTCCCAATTCCTTCTCTGAACGTTTATTAAGCTTTAGTAGATAATATACCATTTCTCATGCTTGTTTCCGTTCTCATATTAAAAGGATATTTGGGCTGGGCACAGTGGTTCACGCCTGTAATCCCAGCACTTTGGGAGGCTGAGGTGGGTGGATCACCTGAGGTCAAGTTCGAGACCAGCCTGCCCAACATGGTGAAACCCTGTCTCTACTAAAAATAGAAAAATTAGCCAGGCAAGGTAGTGGGCGCCTGTAATCCCAGCTGCTTAGGAGGCTGAGGCAGGAGAATCGCTTGAACTCAGGAGGCAGAGGTTGCAGTGAGCCAAGATCATGCTGCTGCACTCCAGGCTGGGTGACACAGTGAGACTCCAACTCAAAAAAAGAAAAAAAAAAAACCTGGGTATCTGGAGGCTCCTGTTGAATGAGATTTTCTTTGTATTACACACACACAGAGTACATATTTTATCAGAATATTTTATTCAAGAGTTAACACTTTTTTCAAAAAGTAAAAACAATAGAATTACTTCCCTGAGTATAAAGAACTAATTCTACAATAAAAGACCATTACAAAATTAAGCAATTAGAGGTACATAATTGTCTGCATTCAATTATACTCTATTTCAAATTTATTCTTAAAAATTTCATATGTTTTGGAACATTAATGTTAAAAAAAAAAAAAAAAGAAACCAAAACAACTCATTTTGCACCTGTGGTGTTAAGATATCAGTCCAGTCTGTCTTTGTCAAATTCAAGGGCAATCTTCAAAGCAGTGCTATTGAGGCCCACAGATTGCATGTTACAGATGATAGAAACAATGATTCCTCTTGGGGGAACCTTGTTATTTAGAGTCTCTGCATCCAGTTCTTCAGGAAGGACCAGCAGCACACTACTGGCACCCACCGCCCCTCCAGTATGTGAAGCATAATGCCGTTGCTTTCTACAAGAACCGTACGTTTGTTTCTTTTCCACCACACCCCATGCCATTGCATATTTACCCTCTTTATCCCAGGACATCTCTGTGTTGGGGACTGGTGTCCACATCATAACCATTGTTTCTGGCTTGAGGTATCCAGGTAAAAGATTTTCACTGGAGTTCTTGAACAGCCCGACTTGGTAACCATACAGCATTGCATTCCCAAATTTCAGAAGGTCACCCACTGTAGACAGAAATCCACCACCAGCCCATTTATAGGAGTTATCCACATAGGGTGTGTTGACAAGACGTTTCTTTTTATTGTAAACATAAAATCTAAAAGTAAATAAGAAAGGATCATTAAAATTTCGTAATTGTTGACTTCACACGATAGAAAAATGTGAGACAGATTGTATTTCGATATAATGATCATACATTCTCAGAAACTATAAACCACTAGTTTTCAGTATGACTCAGGTCCTAATGACACACGGATAACTGAGTAAGGTAGTCTAATTACCTTTTGAATTAAAGCATAGAACATGAGTTTTTTCTATTGGTATTTCTATTGTCCATGCTGAGTGTATCAAACTTTTAATACCTGCAAAAGTATATTGGTTAGTATTATACATAGTATTTTCCCTGTGCATATGGAGACACTTATCATTTGGTACATATTCCTTGTCCTTGGGGTTAATATTGAATTGTGCCACAAGTGAATTTAATAACCAAAACTGTAAACATCCAAAGCGCATTGGGATGTTTAGGAACAAGGTTATTTATAAGAATACTAGGTTTCTTGGATAAAAATACCATATAAGCTGGGTGTGGTGGCCCGTGCCTATAGTCTCAGCTACTCAGGAGGCTGAGGCAGGAGGATTGCTTGAGCCCAGGAGTTTGAGTCCAGCTGAGCAGCAAAGCAAGACCCTATTTAAAAAAAAAAAAAAACTCTTAAAAAAAGCCACATGCGCATCATATATAATGATGTGACATGGTACTTTCTTGGTGCAGTGGGAAAGGCTGGAGTTAGCAAACTCTAGTTTGAATCCTTTCTTCTTTTTTCAAGATTCTTATACATCCCTAAAAGTACAAGTCATAATATTGGATGAAGTCGGGTTGGCAGTTAGGAAAGGAGTGGCCACAGGTATTTATCGGAAGATTTAAAAAGGAAAAAAGGTGTAAATCTTAGTATGCTCTTTAGAAAATTAATGACTTGATATGTGGTTTTCTTATTGTCTCAAAAGCAACATGTCTAAAACTAAGTTAATCTCTTCCAAACCTTCCTGTTTCTTTCTCGACATTAAAACCTTCATTATACAACTTTTGATGACTTTTTTGCCCTAAACTCTCATATCCCATAAGATGCTAAATCCTACTCATTCAGTCTCTGCTTTGTGTCTTACCCTTCTCCCTTCCTTCCATTCCTATGACAACTCTCAGATTTTAGTTCCTCATTACTTTGTCTCAAATCCTCATTGTATTTGTAATTCCAGCCAACCAACTAAAATTAAATCTAAAAGAAGTTACATAATAGAAACACATTTTCTCTTTGAGAAATAAATTTTTCCTTTTTTGGAGACAGAGTCTTACACTATTGCCTAGGCTGGACTGCAGTGGTACATTCGGGGTTAACTGTAGCCTCAGCCTCCGGGGCTCAAGCAATCTTCCTGCCTCAGCCTCTTGAGCAGCTGGGACCACAGGTGGGTGCCACTATGCCTGGCTTTTTTTTTTTTTTTCCGGTAGAGATGAAGGTCTCACTGTTGTCCAGACTGGTCTTCAACTCCTGGCCTCAAACAATTCACTCACCTGTGCCTCCCAAAGTGCTGGGATTACAGATATGCGCCACTGTGCCCAGCCAATAATCAGCTTTCTGTAACTTTTTTTTTTTGAGACTAAGTCTTGCTCTGTTATCCAGGATGGAGTGTAGTGGCACAATCTCAGCTCACTGCAACCTCTGCCTCCCAGGCTCAAGCAATTCTCCTGCCTTAGTCTCCCTAGTAGCTGGGGTTATAGGTGCTGTCACCATGTCAGGCTAATTTTTTTCTGTATATTTATTTTTTTGAGACGGAGTTTTGCTCTTGTTGCCCAGGATGGAATGCAATGGTGCCATCGCAGCTCACTGTAACCTCTGCTTCCCAGCTTCAAGCAATTCTCCTGCCTCAGCCTCCCAAATAGCTGGGATTTCAGGCACCCACCACCATGCCCAGCTAATTTTTGTAGTTTTAATAGAGATGGGGTTTTGCCATGTTGGCCAGGCTGGTCTTAAACTCCTGACCTCAAGTGATCCGCCCACCTCAGCATCCCAAAGTGTTGGGATTACAGGCATGAGCCATGGCATCTGGCCTATTTATTGATTTTTCAGACAGAGTCTTGCTCTGTTGCCCAGGCTAGAGTGCCATGGCACGATCTCAGCTCACTGCTCCTGGGTTGAAGCGATTCTCCTGCCTCAGCCTCCCCAGTAGATGGGATTACAGGCATGCACCACCATACCCAGCTAATTTTTTTTTTGTATTTTTAATAGAGATGGCACTTCATCATGTTGGCCAGGCTGTTTTGAACTCCTGACCTCAGGAGATCCAGCCCTCTCGGCCTCCCAAAGTGCTGGGATTACAGGCGTGAGCCACTGTGCCCAGCTGAATTTTTTTTTCCCCCTGAGATCAGTCTTGCTCTTTCGCCCAGGGTGGAGTGCAATGGTGTGATCTCAGCTCACTGTAACCTCTGCCTCCTAGGTTCAAGCGATTCTCTCTGCCTCAGCCTCCTGAGTAGCTAGGATTACAGGTGCCTACCGCCACACCCAGATTTATTTTTTAAATTAATTTTTAATTTTTTTAGTAGAGATGGCATTTCCCCATGTTGGCCAGGCTAGTCAGGAACTCCTGACCTCATGTAATCTGCCAGCCTTGGTTTCCCAAAGTGCTGGGATTACAGGTGTGAGCCACTGTGCCCAGCCCTGTAACTTCCTTTTGAGAGTAAAGCATTTCAAACCACTTACATTAAGACTGGAAACTAGAACTCCTCAGTCATTCCTCCTTTAAATATAAAAATATGGAGACTTCTAGACTTAAGAATTCTAACTTTAATAAAGCAAATTCTAGATTTTAATCTCTTAGTTCCTTTTCACATAGGACAAATCAGTACATTTTTATGAAAATAATTTTGTTCAGCTGAAAGATAAACTACTATTTCAAGTTCTTGGAACATTTCTGCTTACAAGAATATAGGCTAAAGTTCTTGTAAGTTACTGAGGCACTTTTGTAACTAATGATGGGATGATGCCAGATGACAAACAGCTTCCTCATCTTTATTTATAAGAATTGCCAGATCCTGCTTAAAAGTGTTACATAACCACAGAAATCTACACCTACACACTTAGAAACTAAAAATACTTTTTTTCAAGAGTGGGGGGACAGGGTCTCACTCTGTCACCTAGGTTGGAATGCAGTGGTGTGATCCCAGGTTCAGGTAATCCCCAACCTCAGCCTCCTGAGTAGCTGGGACTACAGGCAAACACAACCTTGCCTGGCTAATTTTTGTGTGTTTTTTTTTTTGTAGAGACAGGGTTTTGCCATGTTGCTCTAGGTTGGTCTCAAACTCCTGGGCTCAAGCAATCCCGAAGTGCTGTGATGATAGGCATGAGCCACTGCCCAGCCTTATTTTTAAAATGCTTCTTAAATGCCTTCAGAAACAATATCATCACTTAGTATTTATTGTTACAAGAAGTTTGAAAACCAACAGAATTTCAAATGCATATTATAAAAACAATGCCACATTAACATCTAGTATTAACATTTATTGAACTACTAGTAGAGAGTCTGTCAGCTAAAGGCATGACAAAGAGCTTAATATGGAACAATTCTTAATTCTGGAAGACACTAGACACTTTAGAAATAGAAGGTAAAGGCCGTATCTATACTGCCAAATTCCAGCGAAGGCTGAGAGGGGGTGGAGATGGTTAATGGGTACAAAAGACACAGAAATAATAAGATCCAGTATTTGATAGGACACCATGGTGACTATGGTCAATAATAATTGTACATTTTAAAATAACTAAAAGAGTAGGATTGGATTGTTTGTAATAAAAAGGATAAATAATTGAGGGAGTGGACACCTCATTTTCCACGATGTGATTGTTACACATTGCATGCCTGTATCAAAACATCTCATGTACCCCATAAATACATACAGCTGCTATGTACCCATAAAAACTGAAATTAAAAATTTTAAACATTAAAAAATGCAGCAAACACTACAGAAAACATCCATTTTATTTGGTTTTCATCCCATTTAGTTATAAAATTAGAAATTTTTCTTGCAAACATTGTGCCAAACACATAGAAAATATGGCCAAGTTCTAATAATAAGCCGAGGCATTGACTGAGGATTCCCCTTTCAACAAATTGAGCGTCTTTCAGTGGCAAGAACATTCACTGAACTCCTCTGTGATGTTTACTCACAGAGTTCTTTAGTGTTCTTACTTATACAGAGTATATTAGGTACACAGAATCAATATAGTCATGCTCCTAAATGGAATCAATGTTCCCACTGTTCCATTTAAGAAAATACCAATTTTGTTCAAGACAACAGTGTACCCAGCTAAGAACAATTTTCTTGCCTCCCTTACAGCTAAGTGTGATCTTGTGACTCAAATCTAAGCAGAAGAATTTAAGTGCTACCGGGAGGCAGGATTCTAATGAGATACTTTAAGCAGGTGACAGTATGGTACTATTTTAAATATGTGCATAAACACACGGAGAAGGGATAAAGAGAAATATTTACTCCTGGAAACACAGTAACTCTAAAAAGCCCTACTCAGGATATTACAAACAGATTTGCGGTTATACCCAATGAGTCGGGAGACTAAATAACAAAGCTAGAAACATTTTTTTCCCTGCAAAATGGTACCATAAAACAAATGAATACAAACATATGTATTTAGTAAGTTTTACTTTAAGGTTTTATTTTTGTCTGTAACTGAAAAGATTCCTTTTACTCCCTAAATTCCCCTCAAAAGCTGGTGCTTTTAAACTCCTTTAAAATAACTCTCCTTTAGAACCACTGGAAACTACTAAAAATTAAAACAACAAAGCAAAAGCATCTCAGAGCTTATAGGGACCGTTAACATTAGAGATAGAAACCCATTGCCTTTTTTCAAAGAATAGAAAATAAAATGAGCTAGGCTCATACCTGTAATCCCCACACTTTGGGAGGCTGAGGAGAGGTCAGGAGTTTGAGCTCAGCCTGGAAAACACAGCAAGATCTCATCTCTACAAAAAATTTTAAAAATCAGCTGGCTGCGGTAGCACACATCTGTAGTTCCAGCTACCTGGAAGGCTGAT